TTGTTTGTTTGTTTGTTTCTTTGTTTGTTTGTTTTGTTTGGCTCACTGGCTGGCTAGCTGGCTGGCTGGCTGGCTAGCTTGTTGGTTGGTTGGCTAAACTTGAAAGACGAAACTTGGAAGAAACTTGGAAGTAATTTGAAGGGAACTTTCACAGTCCTGGTAGCAAGCTTAGTGCATTCAAACCAACAAGCTAGACATAAGGTTACTTGAACTCCTACATACTTCCTACATTGAACATATACTTCCTACATGCATCATACTTTCTACACACATGTAATTCCTACTACTTCCTAGTACATACTTCCTACTTCCTACAGATCAAGATACATGTATATATGGTCAACCCATGGGGTCACCAACCAACATGGCAGCACCCATTTACCTGACTTTAAAACAAAACAGAAGTTTACTATTAGTAGCACAACTTCTGGTAACTTACCGTTGCTTGAACTCAGCATACGGAGTCCTGTTGGGGAAGCCCTTCCTACAGATACGGATGCCCTCAAGTACACCGTTACAGGTCAGCTGGTGCATCACCAACACAGAGTCAATCACTCCCGCTGCCTTCTTCTCGTTGGGGATGATGCAGCGCACGAAGTGAGGGAAGGTGTTCCTCAGGGTGGTCATCAGCTTGTTCAGTGATTCCTGGGTGTAGGAAGGAAGGTTGAGTTGAGTTTATTGGGATCCACATTAAGCATACATGTAAAAGACAGTAGCTATTCATCCTGTGGTCCATTCTAACACACAACAAGACACACGAGAAAATATACCAAACATACATTGTACATTGACATACATGTACATTGAAGGCCTCATACATAAACTAATGCCTTACCAGGTAATGAATCAGGGTAATCGTCAGTGAGCACTTTTTACCAATTGCTGATAAAATATGTCTCTGAGGTCAGGTGACTGAAGTGATGACTAGTAATTCAAACCTGATGAAAACTGTAGTTTAGTGCATGTATGCCCTCTTACGTATCTAAGACATTGACTGAATGAAGGCACTTACAAATGTACTGTACACAGGGCAAAGCTCAGGTCACATGCTTACAATCATAAACATGAGTTATTCATAAAGACATGAAATATATACACTTAGTACATTATTGCCACTGCCCACACCTACCCTGTGCACAGAGGACACAGTCTGGAAGGCAGCACTCTTCTTGCCCTTCTTGCCACCACCACCCTTGCCTGTATGCAAATTTATGATAATAATGATGATACATGTTTCATGCAGGCTGATAAGAAGTTCCTTTTCTTTTCTTGTTGGCAAAACCATCCCAACCATGCATCTATTGACACTTTATTCTTACAGAAAAAAACTCAATACCATCAAAATTTTCTTAGTTGGAAGGCTTAGAATAGTCAAACAGTTTGGAACCATATATTATCTTCTTGAGTCAGAAGCAAGAGTTAGGCACTTTTTTATATTAGATTTGTTATTATTGATCAAATTAGTGGACGGCTGTGCACTTGCACTAAGCCTCTGACAGTGAGAGATGTACTGAGTATTTCAAAACCAAGATCTCTGTCCTTGGTGCTGAACGTGTCATCCACTAGATCGTAGGGGAAGCTAGCAAAGGATTCTGTTTTGTTACTTTGTGTATTGTTGCTTGCAGTTTACTAAATAGTAAAAACACATAAAACATACAAGCTCTCAGGAAGGAGACCAAATCAGTTGAGAGCTGTGTTGGAATCTCCTGACTCACCCGCTGACTCAGCAGTGACAAAGTCCTCAAACAGCATGACCATGAGGCCCATGTTTGACTTCTGGAAGCACTGCACCACCGTCTCGTTGATGGGATCCTTGTTCTTCTCCAGCCAGTGGTCCACGTTATATGGCACCTGCCAGGAAAAAACACCATCCATTTAGGACCTCTCACACATTTTGTCTTTATCATCTTAGATTCTGATTTTATAGTTACGACTTCCCATGTTGCATGTACCTGTATCACTCATGTTGCAATATGCTACCCATACATTAAGTTTTATCTATATTCTTTGTGAATCAAATAATGTTTTAATTTATATATGGAATTTTATGTATTTTCTGTATAATAGACTTGAAAAAAAAACTCAACAGCATTGAATTATGTTATAGGACCACTGTTAAAACAGTCAATAGAGGCATACCTACAAACATGTTTACAAGTTTACACACTAGAGGTAAATACAAGCAGTATAATGAATGAATGAATAAATGAATGACGTACCGTTCCAGCGTAGTGAGCCAGGGCGAAGTGAGCCTCGTACTTGGACTTGGACGGCTTGGGCTTCTGGAAGTTGGGTGACTTTCCCAGGTGGTTGTCGTACAGCTTGGACATGAAGGACTTGTCCGTGGCCTTGGGGAACATGCACTCCTCCTCCAGGATGGACAGGATGCCGAGAGGCTGTGTGTAGGTGGGAATACCGTTTATCACAGACCAAATCAAATCAAACTTTATTCAATCAACTTGGCAGTCATGAACTCGACTGAATTGTGTTAACATTTTGTCAATTAAAACCAATTCTGCCAATTAACAACATTCTATTGGTACAGTCAAAAGTACAAAATGTACATTATTGCATCACATTACATGACCATGAAACATATTCTCCGTGTACTGGATTTACTGTACTTTCAGTAGGATTCACAAAATAATGAGAGTTAAACTGTTCTCCACCACAAGAAAATTGACTCGCCGGAAAATCTATGTTCAGAAGAAAATTTAGTCCATTGGCCAGTGACCCTCCCTCTGGACTAAGAAGTCTTGAGTTTGAATCTCAGGCTGTGTCGCTCACCTGACACAAATGTTGCTGAAAAGATTCTATTTCTAAAAAGAGATTACTTTCAGACTTTCTTACCTTCTCAATGAGAGCGATACAGGCCTCCAAGTCCATACCGAAATCGATGAACTCCCATTCAATGCCTTCCTTCTTGTACTCCTCCTGTTCCAGCACGAACATGTGGTGGTTGAAGAACTGCTGCAGCTTCTCGTTGGTGAAGTTGATGCACAGCTGCTCGAAGGTGTTGAACTGGGTAGAGGGAATATGAAGGGTAAGTATGATTTGGAAGAAACATCCATTAATTTACCATGAGGCCAAACTGTTTTATTTTTTGGTTTCTTTGAATTTGAGGGGAGAGTTTTTATTTTGCTTCCAACAGATTCTTTCCTGTCATCTATCCTTTAGCCTTAATTTTTTGACAGTTTTCTCCACCCTTGTTGGTTTTCTGTTCTTCTACGCGTTTTACTGAGTGCAGTGTCTGTCATCTTTCATGCTTCCTGCCCATACTGGACTGCTGGACTGTCCCAAACAGTTTCATGGAGTGTAAATAGATACAAGTTCCCCTCCTATTTATTTCACCTCCACTCTACCTTTGTTGAAAATTTGTTTGGCTACTATTATATTTTTCAGTATAAGAATAAAGTTTGAATGCTGTGGCTGTTGCATATACGCACATCAAAGATCTCGAAGCCAGCGATGTCCAGCACACCAATGAAGTAGGACCTCTGCATAGGTGACAGCAGTGTCTTGTTCAGACGCTTGATCTGCCAGAAGAACAGCCTATACAAAACAAGTCAGAATCAATGTCAGCATTAATTTTGCTCTTTGCCATGTTTAAGTGATACCTAGAAGAGTATAGATGTGTATAGATGAGTGTACAGATCCTATAGCAGAGGAATCAAGGATTGCAATGGACAAGTCATATAGATTGGGGTATTGGTGGAATATTCAGGTGCAAATATAAACCAACAATCAAAGCGATGTAGTACTAGTGTGCATGTGTAAGCAAATGGATGGATGGATAAATGAATTGCAGATTATGTGGATAAACATATTGTGAAATTGATAGGTTTTCAAGCATTAAATCAAATCATTGAAGAGGTTCATAAGTCTCGTACTGCTTAACAGTTAGTAGAACATTCATCAAGCAGTGACTGTTGTGAAAGGCAGCAAATACGTACCTCCAAATTTTCGAGGTCCACTGTACGTCTTGACTAGGTCACTCCATGATCAAGACATACATGTACAGTGGATGTCGAAAATTTGGACATACGTGTTTGTTGCCTTTCAAAACAGTCACTGATTAATTAATGGAAAACTACTAACTGTTCACCAATCAATCCACATCAATGTGCATACCTGTTGTAGATGGCCTTGGCCAGGGCGCCCACTGCGTAGGTGCACTGGTCCGAGTTCTGTCCCTTGGTGACATACTCGTTACCGACCTTCACTCGAGGCTTCAGCAGACCCTTCTGCAGCTCGGAGCTCGGTATGCCGAAAAGATGGGCCGTCTTCTCTGACGCTGTTTCAAAGAAGTGAAAAGGGTCACCAAATACGCCAGGTGCATTCTCAATAGAGCGTGCATCTAGGTTGATGGGCCAAACTGGAACGTTTCACGTAGCCTGGTTACCAAACGGAGGGGATGTAGGACTCTGCAGCTATAACAGGCTACGTTCCACCTACATGTTTATAAAATTTCGTTTTACTGCTTGATATGTTTCTCGATCATGGCAAGACGGCACAAACAGAAGCTAAGGGCAGATGTGTCAATGTGGCATCTCTACAATTTGTCATGACATATTGCAATAAAAACATGTTAGGAAGGTAAAAGGAGGAATATATAGTATATAAGATTCTTCTGATTAGTGATTAGCCTATAGAGTACATGTATACTCCAGTGCACTGATACCTGTAGCTTGGCTTGGTAATAGCTAGAGGTATAATCACAGCGCGAATCAGAGAACCTACCCTCTGTGCCGTCGCACTCTGCCTGCTCCTCGCGCGGCCTCTGTTTGAACTTCATGTTGCCGAAGTGCATGATGCCGGCGGTGAGACGGTAGACGCCGAACTTCTCGTCCTGCGTGAAGCCAAGCACATCAAACGCCTCATCTGTGAGCTTCATCTCCTCCATGTCATCCATGGTCGGGATCGTCGTTTCACCCTGGGGATTGGAACAGGTGCATGAAAGATATTCATTCAGAATCATGCTCAGGTACAGTTCTGCATAACCTCCATGTCATCCATGGTGGGATGGTCATCTCACAATAATAATGGAGGACAGAGAGGGATGGTGCATGCTTTCAAGTTTGGTAAGAGCGGGAGCTCGGCCAAAGTACATGTAAATAAGTAGATATAATTTGGGCCTGTTGTATCCAGAACCACGCTTCATCCAGAAATGTGTGTGGGCACTGTTTTGAATATTTTCCCTGTTATATCCAGAACCGTGATTCATCCATAACCATGCGCAGACCCAGTTCTGGATACATGACATTGTAGTCTCTGTATTGTATCCAGAACTTCCTTCATCCAAGACCATGCTCATGCAGGCACAGTTCTGGATAGTCTCTGTGTTGTATCAAAGAGTTGACCACCATGTCTATAGTTTGTTTGCTTGTACAGAAAATAAACACAAGTTGTAAAAGATAAAAAAAATTAACTTACGATAGACAGGAACTTGAACTCCTTAGCTCCATGACCGGCAATAAGCAGTTGCTCTGAAAATCAAATCAAGATTGAAACATTTGAAATCAAATTGCATTGTTCTATTAGCATGGAAGTGAACAACATACATCATGAGCTAGTCTATATTCAGCCACACTGAATCATTTGCTTGCTTGTCAAAGATTTAAAGTGGAAAGTTAGCAAGAAAACTGTTGATTGCATTGATTCTGATTAAAAGAATTGGATGGTGACGTGTTATCCTCTTCAAATTTTCCTTGTCATTTCTACTGGATGACAGGTAAGTTTATGCGTGTGGCTTCCATTTCTGTACTCCACCACAGCCTGGCAGTGTTCAGGACAGAGCAAACTGGCAGACAACTGTGCAAGGTATGTCTTTGAGTGATTGAGTTGCTAATAACCAGACGCACTCACCCAGGTTTTGTGGGAAGGCCTGGGACAGCAGCTGGTAGAAGATGTGGTACCCACGCTCTGCAGGAAGCTGGGAGATCACACGAGACTTCTCCAGCAGATCTGGCAAATTTCAAATACATATCAATCATCAAGTATAAATCATAACCGTTAACCTCAAAGCCTTCAAACTAGCTGACTCCCTCCAATTCCTTGGAATACATCGGTAAAATGTCCATGATACATTGTACTACCGGGTATGCTGTAGCTGGACTGAGTGGTGGAGACACACCCTACGTCACAAGGGTCAACGGTCACAAGATTTCATCGAATTAAACCTCACCACGGCGTGAGTTTCAAATGGTGTAACAATGCATATCTGTACTGGACTAATTTAAAACAAGTAAGAATCGTACCTTGCGGTATACTTATTATACTGCAATGGGCTTTAAAAAACTACAAATGTAGTTTCGGCCCCCTTTAACAAAAGGCAGATGCAAACAAGCACAATAAACAATGTTGATGATTTACACATGTAACAATGATGTTACTCACAGCCCTCAATGTCGGCACCGGCCAGCTTTCCGTTGGACCCAAAGTGAATACGGATGAATTTACCCTGCAGAACAAAACACAGTCATCAGATACGTGATCCAAAACTAGAAAGGTAGCATTCGCAAAGCAAATGCATAACGTTTACCTTCGCATATGGTCTGCTCTGTTAATTCTTACTCAAATCCATTCATACATATGTACATACATACATACGTATATACATTGTATGGTTAGACAGGAATATAAATCCCTCCTACTATAAGATTGCAACATGATGTAACCCAACACCAGTTACCATGGTGACAGACGTCAACAAATCAGGTCACTGGCCAGGTCAGAGGTTAGTGTTAGGAGAAGAAGAAGAAGAGGAAACTGAGCAAAAACAATGTTTTTCTTCAGTAAACATAACTAGGCATTTCATCAGTTCTCATGCAACACACAAAACTGTTTGCTATGGAAACATGCAATGTATAATGTAAAATGTGGAAATGTCTGTAAAAAGCAGTGAGTTTATTTACGAAACGGGAGGAGTTGTTGTTCCTGGTGGTCTTGGCGTTACCGAAGGCCTCGAGGACAGGGTTGGTCTGCACGACCTGGTCCTCCAGAGTAGCCTGGATGAAACGAACATAAACATATTGTATGTTACAGCCACCATATAACTTTTTTATAAGCCGGTTCAATCATTGAACAGAATCACAAAATCCGTTGGCGTTTTAAACATCCTTACATAGGCAGCAGAGTGTTTTACCTTCTTCTTTCCTCCTTCCTCAACTTGCTTGGTGCCACCCAGAGCAGCAACCAGGGCGAAGTAGGAGATAACCTTCTTGGTGTTCTCAGTCTTACCGGCACCAGACTCACCACTGTGAAGTATATAAAGACCGTGAATATCCTAAACAATTTAGATTTTAAGATACATTTTTTTTACTTTAGGCATAATATGAGGAGACGATTGAAACCACATAAAGAGAGCAAGTTATTCAATGTAAAGACGAAAACTATCCTGCAACTTACAATAAATTATACTAGGTAACTTACATAGATGGTATCTTCAAGTTTTGGTTAATTGAAGGAATCAGACAAATGAAAGAGGAAACTTTCTTACGTGATCAACATGGACTGGTTCTCGTGCTCTGTAATAAAATAAAAGATGTGTTGATGACGTTCTTTTTAATGTGTATTTCTTTCAAGTTTTTTAATCTGTAACACTTTGTGTAATTCAGCCAACTTCGCTGCAAATCAATGTGAATAAACAGAGTATCCATATTTTAGTATTCATAGATTACATGTACCTTGCAGCATGTTGGTGTAGGCAGAGTCTGCCACGGCGAACAGATGAGGGGGCATCTCAGTCTTCCTCTTGCCCTTGTACTGGCTCACCACCCAGTCCGTGTAGATCGGCAGCCGCTGGTATGGGTTGATCACCACGCAGAACAGACCAGAGTACGTCTGTAGCGGTGGACAAAATATGCATCTAGTGTTACTGTGGAAACACTACACTGTAGATCTACTGTAGTGGTACTGTAATGATATTTTAGTGATGCTGTAGCCACTGGTAAGTGTTGATAACCACACAGTAGTTTCAGTTCTACTGTACTGTTACTGTAGTGCTACTGTTACTACAGCAGTGTTACTGTTGTGCTAGTTTGGTGCTACTTTAGTGATGCTGTAGCCGCTGGTATGGGTTGATCACCACACAGAACAGACGAGAGTACGTCTGGAGATGGGAATGATACAGTATCAGTTCTACTGTAGTGTTACTGAAGTGTTACTGTAGTGCTACTGTAGTGCTACTGTAGTGTTACTGTTGTGCTATTTTGGTGCTAACTTTAGTGATGCTGTAGCCGCTGGTATGGGTTGATCACCACACAGAACAGACGAGAGTATGTCTGGATATGGGAATGATACAGTATCAGTTCTACTGTAGTGCTACTGTAGCCTTACTGTAGTGTTACTGTAGTGTTACTGTAGTATTACTGTAGTGTTACTGTTGTGCTACTATGGTGTTACTTTACATGTAGAGTTCCTTTTTTATCAGTTATACTGTAGATCAGCAGCCACTGGTACAGCACAGGATAGACCAGAGTAGGTCTGGAATGGCCATCTGCTTAATATTTTTTAAGGTGGCAATCAACAGTTTTGTTTCCCTCTCACATTCACTCACTCACTCATTCACTCACTCACTCACTCACTCGCCCTCACTCATTCTCTCATTCACTGTCTCATTCACTCACTCTCACTTATTCCCTCACTCTCACTCACTCATTCACTCTCACTCATTCACTCTCACTCACTCACTCACTTACTCTCATTCACTCACTCATTCACTCACACATTCTCTCATTCTCTCACTCATATATCTCAAATAAAAAAATTAATGCCCGTACGTAGATCATGGTGTTGTAGTAGCGCTCGCGCAGGTTGTTGAGCACAGACGACTCGTTCAGGTACGTCATGTTGGCCATGTCTTCCATCAGGTTGAACTTCGGCGGGTTCATCTGCTGGGTCTGCTCATTTTTCACCGTCAGGGTCTGGGTGGGTACACAAAAGCCATACAATATCAGATCTACTGTAGTACCACTGAGGTGTTACTGTAGTGTTCCTGTAGATTGGGCAGGTTCATCTGCTGGGTCTGCTCGTCTGCGTGGGTACACATAGGATGTACGTTATCAGTAACAGGCACCTGCCATTCGTAGTTTATTGTGTCAGCATGAAAGTTCATCTGAGTTGGTAAATTACATTATGAAAAACTTAAACTGTTCTCCAACTCAAAATTTGACTCACCAGAAATTTTGTGGGAAAAATCACGTGTCCACAGCATTTGGGTCAGATAGGTTAGGAAGACTGAGTGATTCAGTCGAAAGTAGTTTATTGTGGTCTGCAACGTAATCACTAATGGGGTTTATCACACAAGCACACAAGAAAGCCTTTAATGTCTTTGATAATCCAATCTTAAAAAAAGAAAATTAATGTTGAGGAAATATCACGGTTCTCTCACACTGTAAACTGGATTTTTTTTCAATTAAGCGTTGTTTGAATGTCTATCACTACATCGGTAGCAGGTACAGAGATTCGAGAGAAGATGTCTCTGTCTTTCAACGGTGATAGACTAAGTAATTTTACTCTGTGGGTACAACAGTTTGATGTAGCTCCTGACTGAAAGTATCCAGGATAAAAACAGGCCCTGACCTTGCCGTTGGCTGTCTTGACAGTGACCATGTCGTCCTTGATGGACTGGATCTCCGCCCGAACAAACACCTCCTCCGGGTCCGGCACAAAGCACGCCTTCTTAGGGTCAAACGGCTCGTTCCGGATCTGGAGGTTAGAAAAAACAATGTGTTTAGAGTTAAAACCGTCACTCTGGTCTTCCTCAGTAGGCTGAGCGAAAGCTCTAGGTGAGAGAACTTTTTGTGTTGGATCTAAAGTTTTAACTATAAACATGTAACTACCAACACAGATTAACGTTCATGATAAAAACACAATGTGTTGGCATGGAGGATCATCTGTGTTGGTAGTAATTACAGTAATTGGTGATGGATGAGACAGTGTCCGTAGAAAATCTCATTCCTTTGTACTCTTTGTGTTGGAATAACATTAAACATTGCAGTATGACAACAATGTGTTGAATTGTGTCCCATTGCACTGCAGTCCCAAACACAGAAAAGATTGAGCACCATACTTTCCAATGGACGAGGATGCTTTAAGAATAACGCAAGCACTTTTCACCACTCGTCGACTTAGAGGTTAAAAGTAGAGTATAGTAGCTGAGCAGGCACTGGTTTCAATGAACTAGCCCACTGTTGTTTCAGTTTCTATTTCAGTTTATTTTTTGTACACCTACATGTATGTGGCCCAAGGGCTATAGAAACAAAGATGTGCACTGCCCTATACTTTGAAAAGTGTAGGAAGGACTATAATTGAATTACATTGAATCTTAAAAACTTAAAGTACAGCCCTAAATGAAAGTTTTTACCTTGAGCATCTTCTGCTCATCTCCCCAGAGGTAGATGTAGGACGGATCAGCTGTAAGGTTGGCCATGATTGCAGGAGGGCTGCTGGCAGTTCCTGGTCAAGGCGGGCGACTTAGGAAGCAAATTCCCAGAGACACAAGGAATAGATTCCTGGAAAGGTACGCTGCACAGCTTTGGACCTGCACAGAGAGGGGTTTGAAACAATTCTGTTATGAGAAAAAGGAAACCACATACACCATTTTTTTTTCTTTTATTTATTTATTTATTTTTCATCACCACGGAGCACCCCACCACAGTGACTGCAACTGTCAACCTCCTGGGTGGGATGCCTCACATGGGGCTTTGCCCAGTAGTCAATAGAATTATTAGAATGGAATAGAATAGAATAGAATAGAATAGAATAGAATAGAATAGAATAGAATAGAATAGAATAGAATAGAATAGAAATGAACAAAACTTATTCTGACAGGTGTCTATCACTTATACTTGTCTATAGCGAACAATATTTAAGTGGATAAGGGAAACAATTCTCAAACTCTGGATTCTAATCCAATCCCACAGGGAGACCATTGATTTTAGTTAAGTATTTTTACCATTCATCGCAGTACTCGCAAAGACTGTGCCTGTTCAAGCACGCCACCGTGCGTAATCTTCATGTACTACACTCACTCATCGGGCATGCCACCGGAGGCCTCGCCGCCGATGAGTGTGTCTCTGAGACAGACCGTCATCTTCACACATAATACAGCCACACCGACAGTGTCCACAGAGTGTAGGTAAGTCAGAATAACCCTGTGTTTCCCCACGACTATCTGTTGTGCCGTGACATGGCCCTAGGCTCTGAGAAAACTTGGCTACCACAAATTATGCCCCCCTCCCCTACAGTGTCCACAGCCGGAGTCAGGCCAGAAGGTTACCAAAGAGGTTTCAAGAGTAATGCGTTGTTCGACACACCGCAGTTCACCTTTTCAATACTTTTACAATTGATTGGGAATACGACCAAACTCATTGTTTGCTGCATACAAAATGCTCTCGGATGCCCAAGCCCACCATATTAGGCCCTTTCAATCCCCAGGAAAAAAAACATCATCATGATCACCCCCATTCACAACCTCATACACTGTAACAGACACGACCCGTTCCCGCGCATTCCTTGATTTCCCGCGCAAATTCCCGGAAAACAACAACAAATTATGATAGAGCTCCGCGATCTATGGATACTACATCTTTGGTCAAACAACAGCGTTGCCCCTTGATATTAGTACCGTTAATTAATGTAAAGAGGACAAAATATAGGGGCTGTTCTCTTACAGTAGCTACGGCAAATTATGCGAATGGAGTAAAAACTTTACACTATCTACGATACTTGCACTATCAAATCTGCGAGACCTACCATACATACTACGTGTATGCCCACCATGCCACGATCTGCAATAAAGCTATTCCCTCGCCACATCATTCTTTAATCGTCCTGAAAGTCACGCTCAAGCGAACTGTGATGTCTTTTCTGGTGTGATTCCTGAGAGCTGGTCGCGAGAGACCCATGTCCACGTTACCCTTGCTGTGACCGCCCTAAGCATTCCACCGGCCGGCGCGCTACTTCCGGTACACCATATGGAAGGGTACGTCATATCCGGGACATCATATGGAAGTCCATGACGTCACGGGGGCGTGCCTACGTCGATGGCAAATTTATGGCTCCATTTCTTTAAGCTCTTCTTTGCCAATGCAGGAGAAGAATTTGCCTAAACAGGGACAACGGCGTTGCGGCGCCAAATATACATCGACAAGGAGAGATAAGTCGGGATTACGGATTAAAGTGGACCGATGGAGAATTTGCTTCTAAGTCAAAAAGTTTTTGAATTGAACATTTTTTTAAAGTGATCTGGGGTCGATGTAATTGGTTCGAATCCCGGTATACACTGATTGTCAAGCAAACGAAATCATAACACCGTGAGAGAACATTTTGTGTTGGATATCTAAAATTTTAACTCAAACACATAACACCGTGTATTACATACTTTTGAAAGGCTGGTAACCTATTCATGGTAAGTCGGTAAATGCGAAGTTACACGGTCACAATTCTTAACTCCTGCGGCTTATACTGAAGCTGGTTAGAATAGTGCGCTCCATCCACCAAAGTTGAGGACTCAAATGTTTCTTTAAGCGCAGTTCCCCCCTAACGGACTTCCCTTCGTCACGCCCCCTTCCCCACCACGCGTTCCCAAAACCCAGTGGGTTACACTCTTACAGCTGCAAATCATGAAAAGTAGCACTCAGAAGTAGTTACACATTACTTGAATCACCACAAGCGTAATCAGTGCAATGAACATTTCCCGATCGCGAAGTCACAAAAACATACGTTGGGCTGAAATTTGCCATTTGTGCTGGTGGCTAACACAGTAGATTGATGAACATCATTCAGCCACAGGAAATACACAGACAGTTACCCTAATTTACGATCTACTGAATGTTACTTTAGGTCAGCGGAAATTTCGACGCTTATCATCTTACGCGCTAGAACTACTAAAGTTTATATATGTACAAATAACTATACAACATAGATTGGGCTTATGGTAGTTTTTAACAACAACAAAAAACAGGTTAAAATTGAATAGGTCCGACTTACCTAAAGGTTGCAAGGCTGTACGGAGATTTTCGGGACCCCTCGCTTTTTATACCAGCATAAATGAGAGCAAAGATTCCTAATATATATGCACGTTCTTCTTCTCATGGTAGGGAGGGCCATGTTTAGCGGACGTGGTGAATTTCCACTTTTTGAAATTCTTTTTTCTCCCTGCATTTTCCCGTCCGCAAAAGGCGGGTGGAATTAGGGCGCGCGACTTACAGGGAGCTTCGAATCGGCGGCTAACAATAGAAATTAGCCCGAGCGCGCCGCGGTGTGAGCCGTAAGTAACGCGATACCCCTGGAAAAAATTGCTTTCGGAGGTCCAGCCAAGTTTCTATCGTTTTCTATATGTAGGCAATGTCTTCTATGGGTTTTATCAATAATTTGTCGAAATACCCATTTCCTGATTGCTTGTTAACGTATACAGTTGTGTTGCTGTGAAATTTTGTGTAACATTTTGTTGAGACACGATATTTGGTATCTGCGTAGGTGTCGACAAAACGAAGCACCACTTCGATTACTAGTATGTCCGCCCTAGTGGATTTTTATGGTACTGCAGCTAGCAGTTCTCCTTCCTCTTGTTCAGGACATGATAGGGATATTTTTCAAGAATATATGAGTTTTCTTTCATTTGTTTCTTTCTTTCTGTTTTCTCTCTCCCGGCTTCATTCGTGAGTGAAGGAGAAAACTGACGATCTAGGAGTATTCAATTTCAATATTTTAATCTGTGCATTGCTTGTCGTATATTATGTATTATTGTCTGGTGGCGACATGAATATAAGTGTAACTTGTGTCGCCACCGCGTCTTGTCATTATATGTTTCAATAAAATAAAAAACAAGAGTTCCACGATCTCATACCTTCGCCAAATGATGTTAACCCTTGCGGTTGACGAATTATACAATTTTAATAATTGATTTCGCAAATAAGAGCGTCATTTGCATGGATTACATCAGTTGATCATATTCTCTACCTAATGGCAGCCTTATCTTAACAAAATAGGCTATTCTAGCACTTCCTCATAAATTATGCAAATGAGTTCATAATGTGAATAAATTATCTTCATTGATGTTCACCTTCACTTAACTTCCAAATACGGCAAGTATGAAATTCCCAGCAATTACAACTATGAAATTATAACAATTTTCCATTAATTATGTAAATTAGGTCTTCATTTACATAATCTATATCCTCAGATGTTTTTCTAGTTCTCAATTACATGTCACAAGTGTTTCAAAGTCCTATAATCGAACGAAGCAGATTTATAGAATGTCCTCATTAATTATGCAAATTAGCTCCTGATTTGCATAATTGTCATCTGATTATGTCAAGTATCACTTCAGCTACCTACATACCAAAAATCATGACAATCCGTCAACCGGTTCTTGAGTTATCAACCTTCGGAGATTTTTCAAGAAACGCTCCTGCAGTTCCAGAACAAGCTGCTAGGGGGCCCAAACTCATGTCACTTCTTCCCCACCTCAAGAGCTATCTACCAACCAAAATTCGTGACCCTAGCATGTCCAGATCGCGAGATATCAAAACCGGAAGTTCTGCTGCAGTACCAACAAAAGCCGCCAGGGGGCCCAGAATCTAATCATTTCTAGGTCTCATCAAGACCTACCCACCTACCAAGTTTCATGACAATACATATTAAGCTTCTTGAGTTATGCTGTTCACAAACAGACAGACAGACAGACAAACAGACAAACAGACAAACGCTACTAAAAACATAACCTTCTTGGCGAAGGTAAAAAGAAACGAAGAACGTTAAAGCTGTTTGGAGAAACCAAATCCCCCCCCCCCCCCTCCTATCTAAGCATTGCAATATTAAGCTTGGTCACAATTTTCCCATGTAACGGAGAGGGTCATTGACCATGTCATGTACTGGTGACGCCCTGGGCAGCTGGGCTGCCCTTTTGCACATCACGCCACCCCCGGGCCTCCCCCATACGGAACCTTCCATATACGTGCGGCGGGCAGCTTCCCATGGCCGGGGCGACCCTACATTTAGCCTTTCTATGCCTGGTACCGTTCTCTATTTAGCACGGGTACAAAATTAACATGACCTTCGTCGTTGTCACTTCAGACAAACCTTCGTTCATTTGTTCATATCTTTTTTATCAGACGCGTGGCCCTTCACGAAAGGACAAGGATGTGTATATGATAATTTTGATACGTGTTTCCAACGTTTGTAATCTCTTGGCTAGTCTCTTGTTAATGTTTCCACATATGAATAACAGCCAGACAACTATATTCCCATAACATAAGAAAAGGGTTGCAATTTCCTTGTGTGTGATACTGTGTTCGACTGTTTCAGACTTTCCTTCCAATCTGTCCACAACTGTACCTGCAACGTCCAACGACATCTTACACTGTAATTCAATATACAACGATTCTTTTCTTTTACGATCAATTTACTTAAAATGTGTCCCCATGACTGTTGTCATACCGCTCTAGCATTATAGTAGTAATTTCAAAATAATACGGTTTTCATTGATACGAAAGAGGATTAGAACTGTGTTACTGTGTATATTTCTGTGCCTATTCTCTGCTTTACCCATTGGCAAGGAATTCACGATATCAAGACAACACAAATTGGTTGCTCACTCATAGGAAGCATTTATTCATGTCTATCAGTGCAGCGATAACAAAGTCTTGAAATCAATGGCAAATCAAAGAAATCACAAAGCACCAAAGATAGAACAGAAAATATTAGCGACGTTCTCGGTACGAATGCTACGTGGCCATATCGGTGGCCCTAGCGGGATTCTTCAGCAGCTTAAAGGCACTGGTGTCCAAATGCAGAAAGCGCTCGTCGGTCGGTGGGTATGGCCTTTTCCGTTGCATGGTCCGTTTCCGTGCATGTGTCAGGCGTTTCGACCAGTCTCTAGGGCTCCTCGAATGGCTTCTGCAAAGTATGGTCGGTAACAAAAAAAGCAGGGGGTTAGTGATTAGTATGGACAAATTGATAGTCGCTTTATAAACTTTGAATTTATGTCAGCCAAAAGCTCAGGTGTTTCAAACTATTGGACAATCACGCTTTGTTTGTATGCTTGTTTGGATACGTTAAAGTGGTGTTTGTTGTTGTTTGTTTGTTTGTTTTCTTATCAATCTGCTTGAATGACTTTTGTAAATGTGCCTTTGGAAACTTTGGTGCCGCTGGTATGCATGTATGAGTACTAACCAGCTTTATCTTTATGAGTTACAGATAAGCGGTGTACTGTTAATCAATTGATTGTAAGGGCAGGCTATCACGTTAACTACATCTGTATGTTCCACTGGCTTGTAGTATGCATGTTTCTACCAGCTTTACCAGCAGACTGTCCGGTAACATCCCGTACCTTAGGAACCTTTGTGCCGCTGGTGTGTGCGGACTGTCCGGCCTGGAACTTGGCGCGCAGCTTGGCCAGCGCGGACTCGGAGATCTCGGCGCGCTCCGAGGCGTCCTCCAGCTCGTGCACCGTCTTCCGGTACTTCGCCAAGTTCACGTTCGCCATCTCCTCCTAAACAGGACGTGATGTCAGAGAGAACGTTAGCTATGGTTTCTTAGACAGTATGTGACGTCAGTTACAACTTCGGCCATCTTCTCCTAAACAGGAAGTGACGCCATGTTTAACGTTAGCGATCTCCTTCTAAACAGGATATGACGACAAGTAAAAATGTTCCCTAGACAGGATGTGACGTTAGGTAAAGCGTCTGTCATCTTCTAAATAGGATATGATGTCAGGTAAAATGTTAGCCATTGTTTCCTAGAAAGGATGTGACGTCGGGTACAACATTAGCCATCTCCTCCTAAACAGGACATGACGTGAGAGATAACTTTAGCCACCTCCCAGACAGGCATAGCGTTAGCCATCTCCTCCAAAACACGATACGACGTCATGTATAATGAATATAATGGTAGTCTTAGTTTCCTAGACGGGAAGTGACGTCTGAAAATGCGCCAGCCATCTCCCATCTCCTCCTAAACAGGTTATGACGTCAGGGATAACGTTTCCATCATCTCCTAGACAGGGTGTTCATGTTTTGCGTGATATCTGAACTCACCGATTCCTCAGACTGCCTCTTGTACGTCTTGATCTTGAGCTGCAGTTTCTCCACCAGCTCCTGGAGGCGCTCCTGGTTCTTGCGGTCCTCGTCCGACTGGAAGGTCATCTCCTTAAGACGGCGCTCGTTCTTCCTCAGGTTCTTCAGCGTCTCCTGGTGGCGCCTCTGCTCGGCATCTAGCTCTGCCTCAAGATCGCGCACCTGGGTTTCAAAATAACTTTGCTTAGGGGCTGGTCTAAGTTATTGTCGTAAGATGTAACAATTCATCATCACTCGTGCTACTTACGAAAACTGACTATATAATTCTTGTACCAATCTTTACTAATAAGCAAGGTCGTCTACCTTGTTTTCACGATCAGTACGACATGATCATCGAGACTTACCGTAGTCTCCAGCTTCTGCAAGTGATATTTCCCGGCCTTCATCGCGACTTACCCTAGTCTCCAGCTTCTGCAGGTGACATTTCCCGGCCTTCAGTGCGACTTACCCTAGTCTCCAGCTTCTGCAGGTGGCGTTTCCCGGCCTTCAGTGCGATGGTCTCCGCCTCGTCCAGGCGACGCTGGAAGTCTCGAAGGTTCTCCTCCAGATTCTTCTTGATCTTCTCAAGATGAGCTGTCCTGTCCTGTTCCTGCCGGAGGTCGTCAGCCATGCGCGCGGCCTGTTCCAGATACAGCAACAAGGCAATCAGGGATGGCAGACTTCACCCCATTCAGGCAGTAAGCGCCCTCAGAAACATCCCATTCAAAGAAGCCCCAGACAATACTCGGGTAGAAGAAAGAATTGACGTCTACCTCTTTCATTTTCACTTTTTTTCTGAAACTTCGATGAAAAAAGGATGCATTTTTCCTTGATATGATGGAGGGAAAAGCATTCGTTTCTACTCATTTTAATATGTAGCACAAGTATGTAATCTTATAAATTACTCTGCTTCCATAACCAAAGACGAAATAGAAGTTTATTATTACATCTTGGAAAGTCAATGTCCTTCCCCTGACTAAGAATATTTTAAGGATTTTTTTTATGTTGGATACCTCACCTCTGAGATGGCCTTCTTGGCCTTCTCCTCCATGTCCCTGGCCTGGCTGGCCAGCTCCTCCAGCTCGTTCTGTAGCTGCTGGATCTCGCTGTCCGACTTGCGCTTGGCCGTGACGAGCGCCGCGTTCTGCGTGCTCAGCTCCCCAACACGGTCCATCGCCTCGTGCGCGTCAGCCTCAGCGATCTGGAACAAAACGGGGGAGCGCGTTGTCACTCACGTGAATGTGACGTTGCATTGTCCGCCATGCTGGGTGGTTGCTAGAAGTTACCGGGCATTTTGGATCTGCGTTGATACCTAAGGTCCGGTATCAGATGACTACCGCCAAACTCATGGTAAAAGGCCCGCTGTTAAGCCTTTGCACTCACGTGACTATGATTTAAGCATTGTCCGCCATGCTGGATGGTTACACTAGGAAGTTGCCGGGTAAATTTGAATTTCTGTATCTGATTACAGTCACGTATAATAAGTAATCACATAACAGACATGCAGCTCTGGGGAAGCGTCTTCGTTTGCTAATTGTTCTTCTCTTAGATGGTAAACACGTTTTGCCCTACAGGTGGTACAGAAACGGCAAATCTTCTTGTTACGTTTCTTCCGCTGCAGTGAAATTCTGGCATCGTTCAAGTCCATCAGCTTCAGCGTCTACACTTGGTCTACACTAATAAATGTAATACACACGTTTTAACCTAGATATGACCAAGACAACACTCTACAAACCTTCCTGTTCCTTTCGGCCAGCTCCAGCGACATCCTAGTCTCGTTCATCTCCTTTTGAAGCATCTACACGATCTACACTTAATCTACACCAGGGCTACATTTGATCTACACTTAGCCTACACCAATAAACGTAAAACAGACATATTTTAAGCTATATAATATGACACACACTACAACCCTTCCTGGTCCTTTCGACCTGCGACATCCTGGCCTCGTTCAGCTCCTATTGAAGCATCTACACTTGGTCTACACTTTATCTACAGTTTGGCTACACCAATAAACGTAAAACAGACACATTTTAATCTAGATATGGCACAGACACCGCTCTACAAACCTTCCTGTTCCTCTCGGCCAGCTCCAGCGACATCCGGGTTTCGTTCAGCTCCTGGGTCAGCATCTACACTCGGTCTACACTAATACATGCAAAGCAGAGATAGTAAAAGCTAGATATGACCCAGAAACGGCATACCTTCCTGTTCCTCTCGGCCAGCTCCAGCGACATCCGGGTCTCGTTCAGCTCCTGAGTCAGCATGTTGCAGCGCCGCTCCAGTGACGACAGCGATTCCCGCATCTCCTCGCGCATGCGCTGCTCGTCGTCGATGGTCACCTGCATCTCCCGGACCTTTCAAGAAGAAGAAAATGAAACACGTGAAGCCGCATGCGCAGTCACGTACGTCGTACCATTTTCATATGCAATTTTCAACCTTGCTATTGCAGAACCGATCGTCGAGAGATCTACGATAACCATTTCTGCCTGAAGACAGACACATTCACGACTGTCCTACGAATTGAATGTCTCTCAATTTGCTGTTGTTAACCTGCCTTGTGTGTGTGACATTTGCCTTAACTTGTGCAGTTTCAAACGTATTTTTTAAATTTTATTTTCAGCTTTTCGTTCCCCCACTGTACAGTTTCCAGTATGTCGAGGAATATTTCTCATTTAGTAGTGAGTAGTAAGTAGGTTCGATATATATGCTTATTCGTAAAATATGGTTCCACCAAAGTCCTTATTACCTAATTTTGATAGTTGCAAGCCCCACGAATGCCGACGAATGTTTCCTACTTGTACTTGTAGTGACTAACAAAGGGGCATAGTATTTTCCGTTACACTAGTTTTCTCCCAAATTCTTACCTGGTTCTGGTACTTTGCCAGCTGCTTCCTGGCCTCGGCGTTCGCCTTGTTGGCCGCGTCCAGCTGAACTTCGACCTCGTTCAGGTCGGCCTCGATCTTCTTTTTGGCGCGGACGGCCTCGGCGCGGCCCTTCGCCTCCACCTCAAGCGTGGACTGGAGACTCTCGATGGCTCTCTGGTGGTTCTTTCTGCACACGGTTTAAGAGATGGTTGATGTAGATGTTGATATAGATGGATTTGTATATATGTTGCTGTGTTATGGACAACCATTGCACCTTTATCGTTATTCTTGCCTCATTATGTCTCCAAATATCAAACTGTATCCCCCCAGCTCTGCAGAACTGCCTTCAAGGCAAGTTCCCTACCAATCCTTCGCTTACCTCTTCGAATATACACTTACCTCAAAAGTTTCTATCACGTAGCCAGTTGGCCAACTCTTTAGCCTTTAGCCTGCTGGACTGGATAGAATATATCTAAAAAAGAGATGAGAAACGTACCTTAAAGTCTCGAAATCCTACTCCTTTTCAGCCAGTCTCCTGTCGATGTCGGACTTGAGCTGGCTTAGCTCCAGGTTGGTTTGACGAACCTTCGCCTCCTCCATCTATAGCGTACCCTCTATGCTTATCGCTGAAGACTTTTTACAATCCTAAAGACTATTTTTCTGTCTTAGAAACGTACCTTGAAGTCTCAAACTCTTCCTCCTTCTCCGCCAGTCTCCTATCGATGTCAGACTTCAGCTGAGACAGTTCCAGGTTAGTGCGGAGAACCTTCGCCTCCTCCACCTCCAGCGCGCCCTCGGTCTCCTCCAGAGCCGTCCGCAGGTCCTCCATCTCCACCGACATCTGCCGCTTCTGCTTCTCCAGCTCGTGCACGTTCTTAGCGTGCTCCGCGAGAAGGTCGTTCACGTCGTGCAGATCGTCTTATAGATCGGAGAAGAGTTAAGAAAATGTGTAATCAATTTCGCCAGGTTGGTGAATTATTGAATAGCAAAGTTCTCTATTCTCAACGTTCCGATGGCCGTCTGTCACCTTCATCAGGGCTAGTAAGACTTGTTCACTGTGCATTGAAGCTACTTGTTACAGCTAACAATGCGGCCCCAATAATAAAGAAAAGGATTAAACAAACATAGCCTATATCTATATTTCATTTGAGAAGGCGATTCAATGACAATGTCGAGTTTTTTTTATCAAGAAGGACTGATAGCTCTAAGCAATTTTGGCTGGTTCATAACCCATGACACTTCCGTACGAGTAATCATTTAGTATTCTGACCTCTCGCGGCAAACTAAAAACTGACTCACCGCTGAGCTGCTTGTTCTCCTTCTTGAGTTCCTCCAGTGCGCCCAGAGCGTCTTCGTGAGCCGTCTTGAGCCGCATGTTCTCCGCCATGTAGACGCGGATCTCCTTCTTAGAGTCCTCCAGCTCCAGATTGACCTCCTCGCACTTCGTCCGCCACTGAACAACGGACAACGGACACATGTTCTTACTCGAAGAAGCTATGTGCAACTAAACGATATGAGCCAAACCACTATAAGAGCCACAACACTGTCACCAGCCGCAACATGCCCTAACGGCTCCAACGTCTTCGTCAGCGTACCCATGGGTGTTTCAGCACTAGGAAAAGAATCTTTTTAACGAACTGTGTGTTTCAGCACCAAGGACAGAACCATTATATATAATATTAATGGACAGGTTGTTTTAGTAATAGGGACAGAACATTTTATGTGCGTCAGCACCAAAGACTATGTACAGATTAAACATTAGCAATCAATCAATTGATCGATAAATTGATTAATTGATCGATTGTTAGCGCTCACCTCTGCGATGATCCTGTCCACCATGCGCTGTTTCTTCTCGAGGTGGGCTGCCACGCTGTTGGCCTTCTCCAGTTCTATCATCATGTCCTCGACCTCAGCGGCAAGCCTTGAACGAATTTACGTACAATAAACCTCTGAGAGAGAGAATGTATTATCTACAGTCTACAATATGCTCTTTCATCTGGCAATACAACAAGGAGGCAGCGAAAGACAATAGCACTAGCTGCACCCCAGGCACATACGCAGAGTGTGCAACAGGATGTGCAGATTAAGGCTTGGCTAGCAAGTCACATCAGAAGCCACACTTCGGAGGCACAGAGATAGATGGTCCTTTAAGACTGAAAAGACGAAGACAACCAGGTTAACCACCCAACATGGCGGACAATGCTCAAGTCATAGACACGTGAGTGCCAACACCCTATACAGATAGAATCGATTGCACAAACCTGTTCTTGGTCTTTTCCAGACTGCTACATTTAGAATTTGATATCTCGACTCTTTCCTCCATCTCCTGAAGGCGGGCAGCCAGCTTCTTCTTGGCCTCCTCCAGCTCCTCAGTCCTCTGGATGGCGTCGGTCTCGTACTTGGAGCGCCAGGTGGCCACCTCGGTGTGCGCCTTGGAGAGGGACCGCTGCATCTCGGACTTGGCCTCCTGCTCCTCTTCCCAGGCTGTTCCCGGAAGGTGTCGCAGTCGTGCTGGGCGGCGCGCAGCTACAGGGGGAGATGGCAAGGCCGGGATCAGCTTTCAAGACAGGTTTAGGGACCAGAGGTGGGTGTTAGAATTGGATGTATATAGACAGCACAAAGGGAAATCCGCCGATGTCATGGCATCGCTAGCCGACTAAATCGCGCTCCTAACGCCTGCCCCAATGACCACGCCCTTGGTGGGCAAACTAGCCCTGGGAGTGAAAGGATCAATGTAAGTCTGCTGTATGGCATCGCATGCATACAGGTTATTCCATATCGATCCTTCCTTGCCGGGATTGCGTGGACGGACAGACAGACAGCTCAATCATGTGTCTCCTTACCTGGTGGTTCAAGTGATTCTTGGCTTTGATCTCCTCCTCCAGTTGGCGCTTCAGCTCTTCTATCTGCTGCAACAGCATGCTCTTGGTCCTGCAGAAACGCAATATGGCACCATACTGTTCACCTGCTTCACTATTTTTGCTTACTGAAAGGCCAAAAGGGAAACAACTTCTCAAGGTGTAACTTAAGACTACATGTAAATTTAAAGCACAGTAAAGGATGGGAAAGAAATGAGATTCCTAACAATGCAGTGGGCGAGATTGAATTAGCAGCACCTAATACTCTGTAAATTCTAAACTAAGACGTCTTAATTGTCTTTAGCCTTTACGTCACCAGTACATTTGATCCATCCACCTGTACCAGCCACCTCTATAGGACCAACTCCTCTGGCATGTTATCTCTCTATTTCAGTAGTATTTTGCCAATCTTTACTTTTCCCAGCCGCTTTCCGAAGCCCGGTAGAGACTATCATTTAATACCGATGACAAACACAAATTTTCTTGAACTGTTGGACCAACCAAGGACGTTCAACACAACGTGTTGAACGTCCTTGGACCAACTGACCCACCTGCTGAGCTGGTTGCACTGCGTCTCTGACTCCTCCAGGTGTCTCACGGCGTCGCTGTTCTCTGACAGCAGGCGGGACTTGAGGGCCGACACCTCCTGCATCTGGCGCGTCAGCTCGTCCGCGCGAATGTTCGCCTCGTTCATCCCCTCCTCCAGCTGGCGACATCGCTTCTCAAGGTTCACCTGGGGACAAACACACACTTATCAGTCACATCTCTGATTATACTGGACCCACCAGATTGTCAAGGTTCACCTGGGGTCAAACATGCTCTTAATTATCAGTCACGTCCTTCCCAGAGGTGGCTAGTTCTCTGTTTAACATCTTTTATCGCACTGGACCCCCCCCCCGCTTTTTCAAGGTTCACCTGAGGTCAAACACGCGCTTAACAGTCACGTTCTTCCCAGAAGTAAATACCATTAGTCATATCTCTCCTGCAGGTCGTAAGAACTGTCTGCAACCATACAGTCTTACAGTTTGAACTCACTCTGATTACACTGGAAATTTAGTTTTGCAATTTTTCGGTTTATGTAAGGAAACTGCAGGTTTACAAGGCGTAAAAGATGCTCCCTATCAGTCACGCCATTCAACAGCTCACTGCTGAGTCTCAAACGAACTGTCTGCTGCTATACTGTCAGGTGACAGGTAATTATACTAAACCCCTAGCCTCTTAAAATTTACCTGAAAGTGAAGATGCTCATTATTAGTATTAGGCATTTCCCTCCCAAACTTTCCCTCTGTCACAATATTTAAGGTGTCAGCAAACGTACAGTCCAACAGGTTGGTAACCTGAGCATGTTCCCGGAAATAATGATGACAGGAAATGACGTACCTTTTGCTTGGTGACCTGCTCCATGTTGCCGGAAATGACGTACCTTTTGCTTGGTGACCTGCTCCATGTTGCCGGAAATGTCGTCCACCTCGATGCGGAGGGAGTTCTTCTCCTTCTCCAGCTTGGCCTTGACGCGCTGCAGGTTCTCGATCAGCGTGTTCATCTCCGCTACCTGTTCCGTGTGCTTCTTACGGGTCGCCGCCACGTTGTTGTCCGCCTGGAAAACCACAAACACACACCATCAGCCATGGATACAGAGGCATTCTCATGTGCTTATTTATTCATTACATCAGGCAACTGGCTTGCCCCTTCAGCTATTCTTTGCTGATTGCTATAGGGGGCCAGTACATAGCCCACATGTACATTTTGCTTTACTCATTCCATCCCAGACCCATAAACTTTTGGATATCCTTTATCATTTTTTTCATATGCACTACATTCCTTAAGCCGAGAACACACGCTGTAACTCTTGGATACATGTTCATGTTCATACTCACAACAAAATACATTCATTCAAGTGAAATGGACGATCATGATCTTGTTATTTTACATCGCCATTTGACGCAGATTTACAAGTTCTACTGATGCTGAAGTAGACCCTAACTACCCTGCAGCACCACTTAACTCCGCAAGAACTCCCTCCCGTTCCCCCTACGCTGCAGTACCACTTACCGCCGCATGGACCTCCTCCAGTTCCCTGCGGAGTTTGACGATCTCGTTCTCCTGGCGTTTTGCCAGCTCGGCCTGCTGCTGAGTAGCGCCACTGTGCTCCTCCAGACGGTCCCCGATGTCGTCCAACTCCCGCTGCATGTCGTGGCGAGCCTTCTCTGCACGCGCACGGGCGTTGCGCTCGCTCTCCAACTCCTCTTCAAGCTCCTCGATGCGCCCCTGAAGAGAACAAATGAGGATGTCATTAAATCATTAATCTCCAAGCAGATCCTTCGTGACTGTAACGACAATATCAAGTTCCCATTTGCCAGACAGTTACCAATTGCCACCTGAAGTTGGGCTGGCGCAAGAAAGGTACCAGGACAAAGAGAAATCCAGATAAAATGCCTAAAACAAGCGGAGGAAATAAGCCTAAACCTCAGCTTGGAGAGCATTGAATCGGCACAGCCTTCAGACTTCACTAAAAAGTACTACTTTGACATTTGACACCAACTATTGCATTTGTAATTGGATAGTTATCTAAAACTCATCTGCATGGAACAAGCATTAAACTGATCGTGGCCTAATATGGACATCGTTGAGGGTGAGTTTTCACCTGTTGTTCCTTGATCTTTTTTTGCAGCTGCGCCACGAGACTCTGCTCGTCCTCCAGTCTCGTCTGGACGGCGTTCAGCTCGAAGTCGCGTCTGATTGGTACAAACCAAACACAAGTACATTTTAATACAACGTCCTCACAGGTGATGTGAAGTTCTTCATCCCGTCGCTGATACAGTGAAGGGATGTTACCAAATAGAATCTTGAAAAGTACTTATTCAAAACATGTACTATTCTCAACCAAAGGTATCACTATTAGCGGTCATTCGGTCCTGATGAAAGTAATAGATCGACTGGTTATAAGAGAATATTTCTTACCAACTAATGGATTAGCAGTAATGATGTTTGTATAATGATGATTGTAAATGTCAACGCAAGTCAGACGTGTCTGAAGCACTTCAGCACGTCTGCCATGTTGATGTTGAATAAAGATTTGATTTGATAAGCAGTTATCGGTAAGTCATCTTCTAGTGTATTTCTACACTGCATACTTCTTCAGCTTCTCCTCCAGCTCGACTTTAGCGCGCTCCGTCTCCTGCAGGGAGTCCAGCGTCTGGCGCAGGTCGGCCTCCAGCTTCTTCTTGGCGCGTTCCAGGTCAAGTTTGATCTTCTTCTCAGTGTCCACCAGGCTTTCCAGCTGTCAACAAGGGCAGATTCAAATGCATCAACCTTTTTTTTTATTTCTTCTATTCTTCTCATTCAAGATGCCAGTTAATCATTAGCCTCCATATTCAGGCTTTTAGGTTCGGATTAGTTGTGTTTTTGTGTTGTCATATCGCTGTACTAATATGCCAGCAGAAAAAGAAACGATATGATCAGGCCAAAAAAGGCTACTCGTAGAGCCAGCTTAGGAGGCTAGGAAATCGCCAAGAACGACCCCACATGTTTTTCCCTAAAATTCCATCAAAGTAACTTTCACGCCGAGTACAGACACCCAAACTGAACATGCTCATACTTCTTTGTTGTTAACCCCGACACTTTGCTGTGCTATGTTATGGTCTTAGCGTCATAAGGGCGGTCACAAGGAAACTAGCAATAATGCTGACCTCGTCAATCTGCTGCTCCAACTTGACCTTGTTCTTGGTCAGGTGGTTGACCTTGTCTTCCTCGGATTGAAGGTCATCCAGAGTTTGCTGGAATGTGAATCAAGTTGTCGGTTAAGACGTAAAATTCTACAAGAACCTGCGCCAAGAAAGTGCAAAAACAAGACCATACCCATAGTTTATCTTAGAATTGAAACCGATGTGGAACGCAGGATAGGTGTATCAAACGCTCTACAGGTTCCTTTCCCATTCTAGACTAGGGTCGCTCACTAGTCTCCACCAGACTCGATCCTTTGCATGCTGAATAAATACTAGAAATCTGCCTAAAAAGAATGTAAATGGCCAAGGGCAAACTGGACCCTCTATGGCCAGTTATATTCCTTTTGGGCCGATTTCTACTATTTATTCAGCCTGCAAAAGAGTCTGATGGAGACTAGTCGCTCACCGCTTGCAGCTCCTCTAGCTTCTTCTTGTCCCGAGCCAGCCTCTTCATGTTCTCCTCGGCTTCCGCGAGTTCGTCTGACATGGCACGCACCCGGTTCTCCACGGCACGCTTGTCTTTCTCAGACCTGGGGAAGAGAGGAGACCACAGATAGAATATGAGACTTCCCATGCTATGCTGTCACACTGTAAGTGGTTCGAAAATACCACTTTTATGTGTGTTACAAGAGGCCGAGTTTTGTTGCCAGTATAACTTAGTTATTAATAATCTGATGATGCTTTGATCTACATGTACAAGGGCAAGCCATGTACATGTAGGCCTCCTCGGTTACAACACCTCTTGCTAGTTTGAACTTTTGAACAAGATGGCAGCCACTTTTGAACAAGATTACAGTTACCACTTTGTTTATGAGTCGAACACATGACTTCCTGGTTTAACCATCCAAAATGGCGGGTTATCAGCGGGGTAATACATACTAGTACGTCACAGTCACGTGAGTGCAAATAGTCTAACCTTCCCTTAAATCTCGTACCAAATTCCTACACTGATGATACCTAGCGAGATTCCGCTCCAGGTCCTCCACGTCTTTCTTGACGATTAACCACCTAGTATGGCGGGTAATACGATAATACCTAAGGCATGGTCACATGAGTGCAAAGGCCAATTGATACCTAGCGAGGTTCCGCTCCAGGTCCTCCACGTCTTTCTTGAGCTCGCTGCACTCGGTCTCGAGTTTCCGCTTTTTGCCGTTAAGAGAGGCGACGGCCTCCGCCTCCTCCTCCAGGTTCTCCTTGACCTCCTCCAGCTGCGCCTCAAGGTCAGCCTTGCTCTTGATCAGCATGGCGTTCCTCTCCTCAGAGTCCGCAACAACGTCTTGCTCCTGGAGAAGCAGATTTTATCTCTTTATTTTCAAATCACATGTTGTTTCTGAACACTTCAATTGATAACGATCTGCCAATTCCTTATTCTGTTAGACTGTAGCTGCTGTTGAGGCAAGGAGAAGAGCAAGAAAAGCTCGTCTGACTGACTGTAGTGTAGACTCGCCATACTCTGCGAGTGGCTGTCAACATTCTGTTCTGAATTGTAATTAGGAACTAAGTGGTCGGTACGTCCACCAATGTATTCATTAGTCATTTTGTACATTATACAGGGCCTGAATATTGTTCTTCTGTTTCTTTGTCGTTGTGCAATGGCCTATCATGCAACAGGCTTTGGTTCTATTTTTATCTTTTTGTATCTCAAGACTACCCCGTCCTGAATTTTCTTTTGTGTAACTATGTAGGTTTTATGTTCTGCCACATATGATTGTACAAATCAGTGTAATTCAGCTTGTTGTACTTGTACCTCATGCTGCGGGGCTGATTTATCTTAATGAACTGTCAACTGTAAACTGTCCTTACCGCTTGCAGCTGGACCACCAGGTCGTTCTTCTCCTGAGTGAGGGTGACGCACTTCTCCTGCAGCTCTTTGCGAAGTCTCTCCTCATTGGCCAGCCGCTCCTCCATGTCCTTCATCTCGGACAGCTTCCTCTGCAGCTCCTCTTCCTGCCGGGCGCCCTGCAGCAGCGGCTTGATCTGAGGACGGAAGGAAATATAGCGTTAACTGTTTAAAGGTAAGGAAGTGAGTGAGTGAGTGAGTGAGTGAGTGAGTGAGTGAGTGAGTGAGTGAGTGAGTGAGTGAGTGAGTGAGTGAGTGAGTTTAAAGGTAAAACTTTTGTGTCAACACAAAAGGGAAAATCTCACCTTTTTACCTTTAAACATGTACATGTAACTACGAACACAGATGAACTTCCATGAGGAAATGGGTACAAAGAGCCTTTCCCAAGGGCTGTAGCCTTTCCCAACTGTGGGATCTACTACTGAATATAACCCAGAACGTTTTGATCAACAAAAAGACTACCTTGTCACCCTGTGAAGAGTTCTAAACGACCAGAATGTTGAGCGAAGAGCTATCAACGTGAACACCTCCCCGTATACCTATAGTATCTTACTACAAGAGATTTTAAGTTGCAAAAGCGTTGACTTACTTTAGTGTACAGCTTCCACCACATCCATTCCCTCAGCCCTAGCCATTTCCGGATATTCCGCTGCAGAGTGTACATGGCCTCCCTGCAACAAGATTACCATGGTAATTGTATCGCTAACTACATTGTAACATATTTTATCATATACCCCTTATAGCAGATGGGTGACTTCCAACTGGCCTAGCCTCTACCAAGCACCGCAGATCTCTGGAAAAATAGTAGAAATTGGCCGAAGTGAAGGGATATCACATGTATACCAGGAGAGTTAGCCGTCTAGAGAGGATGCAATATGCGACCCGTGTTTTCCACCGATCCGCGGTGCCTGGTCGAGGCTACAAATGGCCTACTTAATGTAAAATGAAAGTGTTTACTCTGCTTTTATACATAGACATAGTAAAGAAATAACACAAGACGCTCGGAAACCTTTCCTACCTTTGTTCCACCAGCTTACGGAACTTGCCCCGCTGGAACCTACCCCTGGCGCGGGCCTGGATGTTCTTGATGATCTGGCTCAGACGATCGTCTCGCACATCCTCCAGGTAACCCAACACCGCGGCCTTGAAGAACACCTGTAGAAGACATATGAAGGCTAAGTTGTAGTATAATACGCTTTAATTTTTTCACTAAGAGACTTTAGCAATGGCATAGGGAATCCTTTTTTTATCAACTTTTCCTCGGTGCAATTCAGACACTAAACAGATTCCGGTCCTAAGTCAGAAACATAAATGCTCGAGAGGCTAGACTCACTGAGAGTTGGGACTAACTAGCCCACTAGGAGAAGCAGGGGTTGCGAAGGATGCTCGGGGACATTCCCTACCCCATTTAGACCGAAGTGGATTTGCCTCCCTTACACCAGGATGGACCTCTATTCCTTTCTATATGAATAATGAGATCTTTAACGTACTCAAGTTGTGGCTCTCTCTCTAAACACGGGGCCTCCATCTAACGTCCCATCCGTGACACGTCCCAAACGGAAGCTAGGTTCTCATTAACACCTGAGTGAAGGTGAGGAAGTTCGCATGTTCCCTACCTTCGTGTGTCCGATGGCGTACTTGGTCTTCTCCAGGTCGATCGCCTCCAGAATCTTCTTGCTGATCTCCTTGGCTTCCATAAAGCCTCCTTTCAAAACCTGTGGAGCCAGGATCTGGTACCTGAAGAGTCAGAAAGTGTTCAACTGGTCATTGTTTTATTCAGGAAATATTTTCAAGGCTGTTTCAAGGATGGAGACAGTGGCATGGGTGGGTAACTTGTGGCTACGTGAACGTTCCAAGAACATAAATTATCCTGATGAAGGCGACAGTGGTCGCTGAAAATTTGATCCCTGTAAATAGTGTGTTGGAATAAAGTTTAGCGTTTTACTAACATGGTATGTTCTCGTTAAAACTGATGTTTCAAACTCAAAATGTACAGTGCAACATACAGCACAAGGTTTGGTTAAAAGATTAAGTAATTTGAGTCCATGATTCTGTGCACGCACATGCAGAAACGACAGTACCAAAATCGCTCGAAGAATGTGATGAAACATTTTTTCGTGCTCTATGGGAAGATTTTATCCAGTTATTCCGACCAGGTCGGGAAAACAAACCTTTGCTTAAACTCCCCGTAAGGCAGTCTGTTGGGATAACCCTTCCTACAGATCCTGATGCCCTCCAGTACACCGTTACAGGTCAGCTGGTGCATCACCAACACAGAGTCGATGACGAAGGCAGACTTGGTCTCGTTGGGGATGATGCAGCGCACGAAGTGAGGGAAGGTGTTCCTCAGGGTGGTCATCAACTTGTTCAGCTGTTCCTAATGTGTGATGATATTCACTTTTGTGAATAGCTTCATCTTTATCTTATCATTTATTTTGTTTGTTTGAATTTTAGGACAACTTGGAGGCCCATTAAATTCTGACAGATTGATTTTCGATGAGACACAGACTACAAAAAACAGTAACATCATGACGAAATTGAAAAAGGTTCGGAGTCAATGATGTTGCTGTTCGAAAATCTCTGAAACAACAATGATAACATACCCGATGCAATGCAGAAACAGTCTGGAAAGCGGCGCTCTTCTTGCCTTTTCCTTTCTTTGGTGCTGTAGACCAGAAATATTAATTCATTCTATGCACAGCTGTGCCTCTCCAAAATTAGGAAAACATGTACGAATAGAATAGCTGATAAGTAGAAGATTATAATAGCACCAGAGCACAAATTACACAAACGATGTCAATGAGAATCGTGCATTAATGAAGGCAATATCTTGTAAAACTAGAAAGGTAACATTTGCGAGCAAGTGCAAAATGTGTCACACAGCAAAAATTCGCTGTTCCAGGATCAACCGTAGTGCAAACATGTAACATTAGAAAATCATAACTGTCTAACATATTCGCATATCAAAAGAACAGTTCGTGTGTTCCGAACGCTTACCTGCGTCCGCGCTGACGTAGTCTGCGAACAGGTCCACCATCAGCGCCAAGGCGGATTTCTTGTAGCATTCCACAACCGTCTCGTTGATTGGATCCTTGTTCTTCTCCAGCCAACCAATCACGTTGTAGGGAACCTGTCGTACGGGAAAGGACGTCCGGAGTATAGAGCGTTAAATGTGAGAAACCTACTGAAAAACCTCATGGTTATAAAGTTAAAGAGTTACAGGTGCATACAGGTTGATTTTTGAAGATGTCAGTAACCAACAAGTGAAGTTGTAAATGGCAGAATAACGCAAGGAACCTACAGGAGTGTGTAGAATAAACCCTTATCATCAGACGATTCGAAGAAAAAGCATCCTGGTTTATGTGGCCACTTTTTGTTTCATGCTGGTCCTTAAGATGATTTTACCCATGGCACAAGCATTACGAATTCTGCCTATAGTGACCACCTGTGCACATAGATCCTAATATTACTACATAGAGTTATAGGTCTCCTGAATAGTCCGTGGGAGAAATTTTGACTGTGCCACTGTATTATTTTCTGTATAGTTTAAACGTTTATCTTACCACGCCAGCGTAGTGTCCGATGGCGAAGTGAGCCTCGAACTTCCTCTTGCCTGGCTTGGGCTTCTGGAAGTTGGCGGTTTTCCCCTCGTGGTTGTCGTACAACTTGGCCTTGAACGTCATGTCCGTGGCCTTGGGGAACATGCACTCCTCCTCCAGGATGGACATGATACCCAGGGGCTGGATGATAATGTACAATTCAGGTTGTTCGAGAGTGAGTGAGAGATGATGCACTAGGCATGTAGACAAAAATAAATAAATTTATTGTATGCACAGATATGCCAACATCAACCATACTGCAGAAATGGCTAAGACTTCAGCTAAAATCGCTCCCTTTTTTGACGTGTTCAGTTAAAGACTAATACAGGCTACACAGGCACCATCGACTGTACAATACACACTCACTTGAACCATCTGGAAGAAACAGACATTTCATACTGGACATTTTACCGCTATTGTACCTACTTAGTCATTCGACTAATAATAGAAAATCCTGCAGCAAAAGGACCATGGTGTCTGGAAAATCTTCATAAGAGGAGCAAACTGAAGGTACCAGCACCTGATCCGAGCAGCTAGACGAACAGGGATATCAGAGACCTTCGTATAGTCTTGCGTACCTTTTCAATCAGGGAGATGCAGGCCTCCAAGTCCATGCCGAAGTCGATGAACTCCCAGTGGATGCCCTCCCGCTTGTACTCTTCCTGCTCCAGCACGAACATGTGGTGGTTGAAGAACTGCTGCAGCTTCTCGTTGGTGAAGTTGATGCACAGCTGCTCGAAGCTGTTCAGCTGTCGGGCGAAAAGAGGAAACCTAACCTTAGAAGATCTGTTCTGTTTTAATCTTTTAATTACATTACATGACTGCATCATTTTTATTGATTAAGTTAAAGTAATGATATCTACCAAAATTGGCAATCCCGTGATCTTTTTCTCCTGTCGTCATCCATCAGCTCCTGGTAAGATGAAGCCAGTCGTGCAATGCAGCTTCGCTATTGCTCGCGTATTTAGCAAAGCACACCGGGGCATCCCACTCTTTTCGATACGTGTCTTGGCCTTGTGTTTTCTTACGAGGACATGTTTGACGCTACATGCCCCCGCATTCACCTGTTTTACGTCCTCAACAGTGTAAAAGCAACAATAACAGAGATAAGAAGAAGAAAAAAAATCACCTCGAAGATCTCGAAACCCGCGATGTCCAGCACGCCGATGAAGTACTGCCGCTGCATCTTGGTGTCCAGCGTGGTGTTCAGCCGCTTAACTAGCCAGGAGAACAGCCTGGAGACATCGAGGGATATGTTTTGTCAAAAAAGGGACCTTTTGTTTACCGGAAAATGTAATGCATTTCAAAAAAGGCAACCATTTCTTTATTTACTGATGAATGTATTGCGTTTTTTAAACTTTGTCAATATCACTACCTCGGTAACTATGTACCTACCATGAAACTTACCAAAGTAACGATTATAGTAATTTTATTTTCTCCCAGGGTTGACCCTTAATACTAATCTACGACTAGTTGGGCAACCCTGGCTGTTGTAAGCCGAACTAATAAATAAATCAAAAGGAACCATTTCTGTGCCCGTAAAGCGTCAAGCGTTTTCCATGTAAACAGTTGCCGTCGTGACCCGAAGGCCTTTTTGTTTGTTTGTTGATTTGCTTGTTTACCTGTTGTAGATGGCCTTGCAGAGCGCGCCCACGGAGTAGGAGCACTGCTCGGCCGTCTGTTTGTTTATTTGTTTATTTGTTTGTTTGTTTACCTGTTGTAGATGGCCTTGCAGAGCGCGCCCACGGAGTAGGAGCACTGCTCGGCCGTCTGTTTGTTTATTTGTTTGTTTGTTTGTTTACCTGTTGTAGATGGCCTTGCAGAGCGCGCCCACGGAGTAGGAGCACTGCTCGGCCGTCTGGCCCTTCACCACGTACTCGTTCCCCACCTTGACCCGAGGCTTCAGCAGGGCCTTCGTCATCTCCGCACTGGAGACGCCGAACAGGTGAGACGTCTTCTCAGCATCTGGAACGGTCGGCAAGCGAAACTATTGTCTAATACATTAGTTGTAACTTTTGCCTATATACAGTCGTTTAAACTTTTGTTTATATACATTCCTTGTAACTTTTGTCTATATACATTCATTGAGTGTTGGGATAGAATGATTATGAAGGGCCCTTCAATACGTTCACGTTCCCAATATTTAATGTCTAGTAGGACCTTCTCCATGGAACATGATGAGGACAATATGAATAGCCGCATATTTTTGTAGCGCTGGAACGAATTTTTGCCATTCAAGATACACTTTGATGAGCATTTATGTTTTTTTTATTGCCAGTGGCCCAATACCATAACACAAATAATAGCATGTCCACAACAAAAGATATCATACCATACTACCCCGCTGCAGTACCATACGAAGCCGCTAGATTATCACTACTTGGCCTTGACCTTAACCCCAACCTACCTACCAAATGTTAGAAAGATACATGCACCATACGAGTCATAACCGGTCTAAAAAAATCGCCAGCCCCATAATATATATATGGTGTGCCTAACACATAACGTTCCCGACGAAGCTGATCAGAAAAAGAAAAAAAATAGTGCAGAACGTACGCTCCATGCCGTCGCACTCTGCCTGCTCCTCTCGCGGCCTCTGCTTGAACTTCAAGTTGCCGAAGTGCATGATGCCGGCCGTGAGGCGGTACACGTCGTTCTTCTCCGTCTGGGAGAACCCCAGGATGTCGAATGCCTCGTCAGTCAGACGCATCTCCTCCTGCAGGACACAGGACGTAGATCCAGTGTCAAAAATGGCTCCGCCCCTGAGGCGTCACCCAAAAAAAAATTTTTTTCTCCATTTTTGGGACCAACTTGTGTCTTGGTACTATGTCCTCCTGTAGGTGTGCATAGATAACATAAATGCCCCTCCTACTCAATAGGGCGATTGGCTCATGATCAGCGTCCATGTCTGATTCTGTAGCTGTAGCCTGGTAATGTTTCCTCCACTATTCTAGTTCATTAATGAAATGAAATGATCTTTATTGCATATCCTTGCCCAGACGGGCTAAATGCATACATGCTTTGTCACAGTATAAAATACATGTGGTGCATACATACATAATGTATGTTTGAGTTCTATACTAGGATTCTAAGTACTACATAATTCTTAAAGTTACTGTTTGTCTATTTTTTGGTTCTGGTTTCTTCTCTCTTCTTGAAACACTTATTGATATAATCACACACTTTTTCTACAATGTGTTCATTTCTGCTTGACATAAGATGTATAAATCTATTTTGCTTGGACAGTTTCTTATATTTCTTGTCTAAATCTAGTACATTAAATAACACCTTACGTTCATTTTCATATAAACTACAATCAAGTAAAAAGTGCGACTCGTTTTCTACATATAGATGATCACAGAATTCGCACGTCCTATCGTTCAGAGGAGTACGGTTGTGCCTACCGGATTCTATATTAATAGAAGTTATCACCGTGCTTTGAATGTATTTTGCGAATTTGTTCCGTGTTTTCTCGTTCACAATGCCTTGTACCCTATCTCCAGGACACTTTGTAAAACACCGATCTGTCTAGCTGGGTACATGCACATAAAATCTTTGATTTCGAAACAAACCCGTCTTTTTTGGTCATATTTGTCTATGTATGTACGTACCGCATCGTCCACGCCGGGGATTTCGGTGTGGCCCTGGGAGCAGTAGTAGTACTGCTTAGCGTCAGGAATCAGCAGCAGTTGTTCTGAAAAAGGGAAATGCCAGGAATGAGACAAATCCGATAAAAGCCGCGACGGAAATTGAAAGAGTTAGGTGTGTGGTATGTACACCTTTTAGGGCGGTGGTGGATAAAGAACGCCACCTACCAGTGAGCTGCGGAAACGCATTGGACGTCAGCTGCAGGAAGATGTGGTACGCACGCTCGGCACTTTGCTGGGAAATCACGCGAGACTTCTCGAGAAGGTCTGCATAAGTGAAACACAACGTCCATCCTATTAGCAAAGGACAGGGTACAACACCAGGGAAATATTGTCCTTTCAACGAAGACAGTGAATTGACGAAAAGTAACTTAAAGTTATGATAACCTAACTGATTCAAGCACTCACAATTCTCGATGTCCGCACCAGCCAGCTTCCCGTTGGACCCAAAGTGGATCCGGATGAATTTACCCTGCAAAACAAATGGCATCACATGAAGATACATTAAATTATCACAGTAACGATTAGAATCAAACTATTTGACTTTTGATAAAAGTGATACAAGTACTCACGAAACGGGAGGAGTTGTTGTTCCTGACGGTCTTGGCGTTACCGAAGGACTCCAGAACGGGGTTGGTCTGCACGACCTGATCCTCCAGAGTAGCCTGCAGTGATGATTAGAATAAAATTGCAGTTGGGGGCATATTGCACGTAACGTTACAACATATATGATATATAATTGATGGAGAAGACCGCAAGTAAAATCTTTCTCTCCTTCAAACTACATAAAATGCACAGAGATTTATATTCTGCCTTTTGACTACTTTTAAGTTATTTCATTTTGATAAATATGGATTGTCGTATCTATAAGATTTAGAAGTACTGTTTTTCTTACTCGATTGCGCGAATTGCCTGGACAACCTAAAATTACAATATCTTAAAATTATGGACTAGTATCTTCAAATTCTTACCTTTTTCTCGGCCTTCTTCTCCTTGGATAGAGCCGCTACGTTGGCGAAGTAGGCGATAACCTTCTTGGTGTTCTCCGTCTTACCGGCTCCGGACTCGCCGCTGTGAGGTAAAACAACCTCTGTACTCACAATGATCAAATTAGATCCTCCTAAACTAAGGAACCTCGGACACAAGACACAATGAAAGATAACGAAAGACTAAATGGATCTGCATGACGTTTCTACGACTGCAGATACAGTAGAAGAGGAGTATTGTTTTCAGAATAATGGATAAACGTCCTCGAGCTGATGCTTTCCTGCACATACACTCTTTTCTGCGCACATTGTATGAATAATGTAGTGAATGTAGTACTTACGTGATCAGCATGGACTGGCTCTCGTTGTCTATAAAAGACAATAGTAAATGTCAATGGAGTAATACGATATTTAACTTTGAGAGTGACCCATGCTGCTGTAGGCGTTTGGTCTAGTTCGTTAGAGACAAATGCAGTGCCCCCCCCCCACACACACACACACACATACACACACCGTCTCCCCCATCACAATGAAAAGTAACAAACAGTGGGTCTCGTTCTTACTCTGCAGCATGTTGGTGTAGGCGTTGTCGGAGACCGCGAAGAGATGCGGCGGCACCTCCGTCCTGCGCTTCCCCTTGTACAGCGCCACCACGTCCGCGCCGTAGATCGGCAGCCGCTTGTACGGGTTGATCACCACGCAGAACAGACCGGAGTACGTCTGAAAGGGTAGGTAAAACATGTACTAATGTTACTGTAGTGCTACTGTAGTACTACTATAGATCGGCAGCCGCTTGTAAGGGTTGATGACCACGCAGAACAGCCCGGAGTACGTCTGGAGGGGTGGAGAAAGCATGTAGTGTATGTTACTGTAGTTCTACTGCAGTGCTACTGTAAAGCTACTGTTTTGTTACTGTATATCGGCAGGCCCTTGTACTGGTTGATCACCACGCAGAACAAAGTTAAAAAAATATTTCAATGGAAGAATACATTCTGTAGTTAGTGATACTGTCATCAAGAATACATTCTGTAGTTAGTGATACTGTCGCTAGAAGATACAAATACAATGTACTGATGTAGATACGAAAGAACACCTGGCGAAGAACCTTTCAGGAGGACCTCAAGAGGGCCAACATTGCCTGGGAAGAGGCTGAGGAGGCAGCAGCCACTAGACCCAGATGGAAGCTGCCCAATGTGCCTGTAGGCACAGGAGGACCTAAGGTCTAAGGTAAGGATGTAGATACGATGGTAGTAGGGTAAGGGCTAGACAGAGCAACTGTAGTTAATGATAATGCCGCTAGGTGGCTATTAACAGTGTACTGACGTAGATGAGCTGGTGGTAGGGTTAGGTCTGTGTATAATGTCGTTGGGGCCAGACAGACCAGTTGCAGTTAATGGAAATGCCGCTAGATGGCACTTAATACTTACGTAGATGAGCTGGTGGTAGTATCTCATCTTGAGGTTGTTGAGGATGGAGGCCTCGTTCAGGTACGTCATGTTGGCCATGTCCTCGCAGTAGGCGAACTTGGGCGGGTTCATCTGCTGAACCAGCTCCTCCTTCACCGTCACAGTCTGTGTGCACAACAAACGCTGACGTCAGGGAAATATGCCGGCCATATGCATAGCGAAGCCGATTGGAATTACACTTGCCTATAGATTGTTGTACTCAATAAATTAAAAAGTAACAAGCATCATAAAAGTGAAAAACATTGTAAATACGTGGTGACGGGATGGATTTGAAAACAGATGCGGAGCTGAATATGACATCAAAAGTGAATTTTAGAGAAATGTCGTTATTTTGGCAATGCTACACCGAGTTTAATGGCATAAACAAATGATGCCTTCTGTTGTCATCTTTCCCTCTTTTGGTATTTTTTACTTAATTTTTTTTTCAAAAACCAGACAAAAAATTAATATAGGTCAAGGAAAACAAAGAATTAAGATATTTTTAAGCAAAATTCTTAAGATAAATGGTCGCGGCCTTAAGACGCTGTCTCCATGTCTTCTTACCTTTCCGTTGGACGTCTTGATGGTGACCATCTTGTCCTTGGTGGCCTGAATCTCGCCATCGATCCACACGTCCTTGTCATCCGCCACGAAACACGCCTTCTTCGCGTCAAACGCTTGCGAACGGATCTGCAGAACGGACAGGGGGCAAGTTTATTCGTTTAACAAAGTTCTACGCACGGGCAAAATTCTAAAACGTTTCGGAGACAGTCTGGCACCTTCCTCAGGGCAATATTGGCTGGTTTTTCTTCTATGCAGATAGGCAAAATAAGATATCTCCAAGATGTAAGATATCTCCAAAACTGAATTTGTGTGACTCTTAATTCTATTATATCATTCTCGATATTTAAGTATGATTTAAAGTAGAAAAGCACGCAAAACCAAAACTTTATTTTGTATGAAATTCATTATACTTAAATCTGTAAGAAATATTCAGTCGCTCAGTGGCTGCAACCACAAGTGAAAAGTAGGTGTAGACACTTTGTTCACCGGTAGTTCACAAACCCTAGTTTGCTGAGTATACAGATATGGTATGAAGCTACTCTTACAAGCCTGGTCAAAGTATATACGGAGTTGCCTCATACCTTCAGGACTTCCTTCTTGTCGCCATACAGGTACCGCTCGAACTCTTGCTCTTGCTTCTTCGCCATGGCTGCTGCTGCTCGCCAACAGTGAGGCTCGCTCAGACGCCGGGAGTCGGGTGGAGCTCGGGAGGAGGCCGCGGCTTGGCACGCTCAACTACAGCTGGACATATGGTATGGCGTTGTTTTAATGTTTAGCTTCGATAAAGTTTGGGAGTGATTGTTATAATGCTGAGGTCACATTAACGGGACAGTCGCGGTTCTGGATAGTCTTCACGCTTCCAAGAGCCCAGATTTGTCATTATCTCCCTCAATAAAAGCAATGTTCGCCTTTGCAATATTAGTATTTACTATGCCATAAAATACTATCGAACCTATATGATTATGAACACAGGAAGAATAAATCTGCATTAGAATAAAAGAAGAATAAAACTACACCATCGTATCAAAGACTTAAAAACAGATGAATATTGTATAATGATTGTGAAAAAAATGACAGGCTTTTTAAAACACAATTTCACAATACATACGTTCGAACACTGGAACTTTCTAGCGAACATACGAAGGCTTACCTTGCATAAAGCTGTGTGAAGAAAGCCAAACGAAGTGCAGGTTTTATATATGCCCTACTTTTGGTCAAGAGCGGAATTTTTATAAACCTTCCAAAGATGGAGGTTCGTCAAAGGGTTATAGCTAACAGGACAAGAATTCTAAACCATACCAGAGAGAACATTAAACTGTGCACTAACGTGTTTTCTGTGACCCGTCCTTTTACTTCCAACCCGTTATTGGGTAAACTGTTAGAAGGGATATTCGAGAAGGACAAGAAATAGTAGAAACCAAAATGGAGTTGGCTTCTGTTAAGGCATGTCCTTGACAGTTGTTCCCAAGGTTGTCCGAATTTGTGGGGCAAACTTTGATGTTGTGCTTGACTTGGCGGGGTGAAACCTAGATCTTTGTGTTTAATCGCGTTGTAGAATGTTGTTAAGATTACACATTCATTCATATTGTATTCCATTTGATTTATTACCTATCTATGATCCATCTGAACCAGTCCCTTCTGCGTATCTCATCATTGTCAGTTTGTCTCTGCTCTAATGTCTGACACGTACATTGTAGTTAGCCATGAGATAACTTCACGTACATCATGCCTTTATACCGTCTCCCCGCTGTCTCTGACCGGGACCCACCCGGGTAGACCAGACGTTCTCCTAAAACAGTCTGATGGGAGAGCTAAGGGGGAGAGGTCGCGGGAAACAAACGTCATCCGAACTTCGCCGTACATTTTTAGCGCCTTGATTTTGGTTCACTGCACTGGATTCGGTCAGGTATAAAAATAGTCCCATATCGGTCTTGACATTCATGTTTGTCTGGAGACTGGATATTTTAGATCACTAGAAATTTCTTCAAAAGGGACGTGAGGATTAACATTGAACTTCACCCGTCTCGCTACTGTGGCAGTGGTTAACCTGTTTGATTTACGATTTTATGCTGAGGTCACATTTCCAAACCGGGACCCGACCGGGCAGGGTATAGGAACGAAAAGTATGATATAAAAGACATCAACGCAAATAAGCGTAGAAAAATATAGTCATAACCACCCTTTGTGTATAACATGAATAGTTCATTTTTCGTTAAATTAAACAGCCCGACCGGGCCCCGGTTTGGAAATGTGACCTCAGCATTACATGTTTCGGATATCGCGTAACAGCAACTAAGGTCGTCTAAGGACATGACTGTAGGTCAGTGAGACAGTGGGGGTCGTGCCTTTGGGAATGGGCTGGTGTTTTTGCCCTCCGGTATGGACTTGTTTGCGGCCTGTCTGTTTAACAGCGATTCTATTTTAGCTCTGTGTAATGTTTTTTACGAAAAAGGTTGTTCAAGGTCACGTACGTCACCTGTGAGGCATAGAACATGACGTCACATTCGTCATAGGCCATCGAACGAACTTGAGGTCGCAGAATTTTCAAAAACGTTTTGACAGTACCAATTACTGATATGACTGACAAGAATCTAAGACAAACTTTTCTGTAACAAGGCAGCTGAGGCAGTACGACACACCCATGACTATCCTAAAATGCCCTAAGTTTGCGGTCTTACAACGAATGTTAACAGGCCCATAGGTAGTCCCATACTAATATCTGTCAGGCCCCGACTCGATTGTGACAGGGCTCCATGCAAATCGGCATTGCTCAAGTCCTTGAATTTTTTCAGAATTAAGTCTTGGATGTTTTGACCAAATCCATTGGATGTTTGTTTTAGGCAAGCTTGTCTGGTATGTCAACCATCCCGATTTCTCACGCCTTCGAATAACACACACACAACCACCCCCCTCCGGTAGATATATGTCCGACCTTTTCCAGACTAGTGCAGCTGACATGAACTTCCTACTATAGACGTTTGATGTTGAATTATAGCTGGCAGGGAATACTTTATCTAAAACAACTTGCTCTTGAACTGATTTATGGGGTACCCCATCCCGAGTACAAGCTTAAGGCTTACTGCTCAGTAAGGAAGGGGATAGATCATATCCTTTAAGGCAGTAAATAGCTATGAACTGTAAAAACAGACGAGACATTTGTGATGATAAAGCACATTTATTACATACTGAACTTGGAGTTGACGTTGTTGGCATTCCGTGCATCCCACGCACTCAACCGGAAAGGTAAAGAATGCTTGAGATTCTCAACCGGATCTTTTTTTCTTTACGCACAGGAGATGGAGTGTTGTTTTGACGTGTCTATCTGTGTGCCTGAATGTCTGTCCGTCTATATGTATCCACACTGCAGTTTCTGTATATTCTGCCAAAGGGCACGTGTGTTCAACTGGGTGAAGTCTTCTATCTTTCATTGTAAGAGAGAGCACAGAAAATTCATCAATGTACTCTGACATGCTGAATGGATGCAAGTTCTCGCAAACTGACACGATATAAAACTGGTTTCTTTATTATATATTCACAAAAACTATTATCGCTATGTTTGAATAGAACTACAGAATTTTTTGTCTTTAAGTGCGAGTCGGCGTTCATCGTTATTCCATAGGCATATTGGTGTTCATCTTGGTTTCATAGGCGCTCGTGTATCTAACTTCAGCAAACGTAAGGTAAAACATCAGCTCTATGGTCTTCATTCTTCTTGCTTTAATTTCTGGATCTAAAAGAAACAAGAAAACATCGACCAAAGTTAGAGTCAGACAGTGTAAAATATCCGTTTCATTTACATAATATAGATGATATACAAGATTGAAATCACCAACACAAATTCAAAGTTTAACCACCCGGCATGGTGGACAATACCACGTCATAGTCACGTCAGTGCTAACACGTACCATGATTACCTGACGTATTAGTAAAGTCTCGTGTAAAAAAAAGTCACGTGTCTGTAACCGTAACTCTCGTGAGATTACGCTTTGAAGTGATTGGTCATTAATTATCCTGATGAAGGCGGCAGTGGTCGTCGACAATTTGATCTCTGTTTAACCTATGTGTTGGACGTGGTGTCGTGTAGCGTAGCGGCAGAGTGCTCGACTTGGAACCAATAGGTCCCGGGTTCGAGTCTTGACATGCCACCGATCTTGTGCCCTTGAAAAAGGCAGTTCACACGACTTTCCTCACTTCGCTCAGGTGAAAATGAGTATTGTATTGTCCCCTGTGTTGGTGGCGGCATTAATATAAGTTGAAAAAATTTGAGTGTGCCGTCACCACGTCTTGTGATTATATATGTCGGAATGAAATAAAATTAAGTTCAACATTTTACTACGTACCATGATTTTGGCGGTTGTCCCGTGGTACTTTGCGCGCATCTTGGCCAGCGCGCCCTCCGCGATGTCGGCCCGCTCCGTCACGTCCTCCAGCTCGTTCTGCGTCTGGCGGTACCGAGTCAGGCTGCTAGTGGCTGTCTCTGCCTGCAAGGAAACATGTTTATATGTGGGGGGTTAATGGGTTAATGGGCCACTTCTGGCTGCCCGCATGTACATGTATGTACATGTATATACATGTTACCGCGTCAGGCTGCTGGTGGCTGTTTCCGCCTGCAGGGACGGTTTCATGGATTAATGCACCACTTCTGACAGTCCGCATCTACATGTTTACTTAAAGTCTAGCTTCCCGCATGCGCACGTACATGTTACCGCGTTAGGCTACTGGTGGCTGTCTCCGCCTGTAGGATGATATGTGGGGTTTTAATGGGATAATGCATCACTTCTAGCTGTTCTCATGCACATGCATTGGCCGCCTCCACCTGCAGGGAATTGGGAGAGTTTAATGGCATGATACACCATTTCTGGCTGTCCGCATGCACATGTACATGTTACCGCGTCAGACTGCTAGTGGCTGTTTCCGCCTGTAGGGATATGTGGGGGGTTTAATACGTTAATACACCTCCTCTGGCTGTCCGCATCTATAATCTATTCCAATATAATTAAGAACTTAAGACTCGAACATCACCACAGCAGAACTCTGCTCACTGATATAGGCATAGGACAAGGACGAGTGGACATGAAGAACCCATTGTCTCCCGTATTGACATCCTTCAATGTTCAAGATTCGAGGACTCGAAACTGAAGATCTGAGTATAAATTCTTGGGAGGAAAACCAAAGGCGATATCATTTAAGGATCTTCAAAGGCCTTACCGCTTCTTCAGTCTGCCTCTTGTAGGTCTTGATCTTGAGCTGCAGTTTCTCCACCAGCTCCTGGAGGCGCTCCTGGTTCTTACGGTCCTCGTCCGACTGGAAGGTCATCTCCTTAAGACGGCGCTCGTTCTTACGCAGGCTCTTCAGGGTGTCCTGGTGGCGCTTGGCTTCTGAGGCTAGAGCTGCCTCGAGTTCACGGACCTTCAAAACAATGGCAGAACGTTCATTAACGCCAATCTGTGTTGGTAGTTACATGTTTAGAGTTGACACTAACTGGCAGCACTTGTCACGCAATATGTTTGCTAAGTCTTGTGAAACAGTCGGAAGACTTTTTCTTTACATTTACATTCTGTTCGTTTTGATGTGTCAAATATTGACTTTGAATATAATTTTGCTGACTCAAACTTATCACATTCATAGCAGTGTGTCACCTACCCTCGGCCAACTTTGCACTATTCGTCCAATTGCGATTTACCTTCTTCCCCAGCTTCTGTATCATGCGTTTCCCTGCCTTCATTGCGGCTTACCTTGTTCTCCAGCTTCTATATCATGCGTTTCCCGGCCTTCATTGCGACTTACCTTGGTCTCCAGCTTCTCTATCATGCATTTCCCGGCCTTCATTGCGACTTACCTTGGTCTCCAGCTTCTGAATCATGCGTTTCCCGGCCTTCATTGCGATAGTCTCGGCCTCGTCCAGGCGGCGCTGCAGGTCCCGGATGTTCTCCTCCTGGTCGCGCTTGACCTTTTCCAGGTGAGCGGTTTTGTCCAGCTCTACGCGAAGGTCTTCCGCCATCCGGGCCGACTGAAAAAGAGTTGGACCAGATTAATAGCACCTTTAGACAGTATGGGCTGTGTGAGTCCATTCTTACGTCTTCTATCGCCGTCTTGGCCTTGTCTTTCATGCTTTGCTCAAGGCTGATTCTATTCAACTACAGTTTAATTAGTATAACAGCAGGCTTATCTCTCGTGGCCTTGTCTGTCATGCTTGGCTCATCGCAAGGCTAATTATGTTCATCTACAGTTTACATCAGATTAATATCATCCTTACATCTGGTATCGCCCTCTTGTCCTTAACGATTAGCTCAATGGTTTTAATGATTAGCACAAAGACTCCTTCCTGCTGCAGTTTAACCAGTATAACAGCGCGCCTACATCTCCTATCACCTTCTTGGCCTTAATTAATATAGTGATTTGCTCAATGGTTATTCAGTATGACAGGACCCTTACGTCTCCTATCGCCTTCTTGGCCTTGTCGTCCGCCAGCCTGGCGGCGGCCTGCAGCTCGTCCTGCTCGCCCAGCAGCTGCTGCACCTCGGCGTCCAGCTTGCGCTTAGCGGCCACCAGGGCGGAGTTCTGGGAGGACAACTCTCCCACGCGGTCGTGTGCCTCCACCAACTCAGCCTCGGCCACCTAGGAGGCAATCAGAACCAATCAGAACTAATACTATAATGAGTAATACGTATGCCTGGGCTAAGGCGTCCAGTTTGCGCTTGGCGGCCACCAGGGCGGAGTTCTGGGAGGACAACTCGCCCACGCGATCGTGTGCCTCCACCAACTCAGCCTCGGCCACCTAGGAGGCAATCAGAACCAATCAGAACTAATACTATAATGAGTAATACGTATGCCTGGGCTAAGGCGTCCAGTTTGCGCTTGGCGGCCACCAAGGCGCTGTTCTGGGAGGATAGCTCGCCCACGCGGTCGTGCGCCTCCACCAGTTCAGCCTCCGCCACCTAGGAGATGATTAAGGTTCAATAATACAACCAAAGTTAAACTCGAGTAGTAAGAATGACCAGGCCAAGGCTTCCCATAGTGGCGCTGAACTGGTATCCAGCGCTGTTCTAGGAGGACATCTCGCTCACACGGTCGTTCGCCTCTACCAGCCCAGCCTCAGCCACCTAGGGGATGATCAGAGTGATCCTTGTAAAATTACTAAAATAGCAACTGGCTATTTGGGCTTGCCCTGCCACGCCAGTCACAGACGCACTGGCAGAGAGATAAAATTATAATATTGACCACATTGAACAGATGCATTTACGACTGCGCAAGTTGCCCTCAACATACTTAAATGTCAAATAAATGTCATGTCATATAAAATTCTTGCTTTTGGAACTGTTATGAGAAAGGAAAACTCTTGGGGAGGGGAGCAGGCCTGGTTAAATGCCTTTCACAGTCTAACCGATAAATAGCTAAAACAGTAGATTCTCAGTCTGCTGGTAGAATGTACCACATTGTTACTTTTTACCTTCCTGGCCCTCTCCGAGGCCTCCCAGTGGGACTTGGTCTCCTGCAGCTCATGCGCGAACGCCTGCGCACGGCGCTCCGTCACCGTCAGGATCTCACGCAGCTCGCTGCGCATGCGCTGCTCCTCGTCGATGACGATCTGCATGTCCCTAACCTGATGTGTCGGAAAGGATTGCTTATCAGAAAATTTCCAAAATCATTACTTTATTCCAAAATATGCAGACTTTAATACCTTGCAATATAAAGCGTCGCGGATTTCAGACACAAAAGTACACGAACACTCTAGTAACAACAAAAGTACACGTTGTCTTTGGAAAAGTAAAATGTCAGACCTAATTTGCATACTGAAATGGGCTGATTCAATAGTGATGAAACCTTAAACCATCTCTTTCATGGTACATGGGTAACTGTCATAGTTAGTAGCGAGACTATCGTATTGTATTTTTGTCTCTTTTTTTTTAATTCCAACATGTAATCACCAGACGTGGTGACGACACACTCAAGTTTTTTCAACTTATATTAATGCCGCCACCAACACAGGGGACAAATACATGACAGGACAATACTCATTTACACCTGAGCTAAGTGAGGAAAGTCGTGTAAAGTGCCTTTCCCAAGGGCACAAGATCGGTGGCATGTCAGGACTCGAACCCGGGACTCTAAGTTCCGAGTCGCGCACTCTGCCGCTACGCCACACGACCCCATGTCTTTTGTATTGTATTTATCGTATGGCAAGCTATGCTAGAATGTAGCGTTCAATACTATGTTTTATATCCTGTAGACCACATATGGTCACAAGTGCAAGAATATCCAATAACGATTGTTCATATTACATAGCAACATATCTTCTCGTATGTTCCAGTAATGCAACAGTCTATGTAGTCTATTCTCCCACCCACCTGGTCCTGAAGCTTGCCGATCAGTTTCTTGGCCTCGGCATTCGCCCTGTTAGCGTTGTCCAGCTTCACCTCGCACTCGTTCAGATCTCCCTCCAGCTTCTTCTTGGCCCTGAGCGCCTCGGCCCGACCCTTGGTCTCCACCTCCAGGGACGCCTGCAGGCTCTCGATCGCGCGCGCCTGGTTCTTACTGCATCAGGGGGAGAAAACAGCTGGAGTTAAAGAGCCACAACAACAACATCTGAGATTGAACAGAGACGGGAGACACAGGTTATCTGGCCCGACCCTTCGTCCCCACTTCCAGGGACGCCTGCAGGCTCTCGATCGCACGCGCCTGGTTCTTACTACATCAGGGGGAGAAAACAGCTGGAGTCAGAGCCACAACAACAACATTGAACAGAGACGGGGGGCGACACAGGTTATCTGGCACGACTCTTCGTCTCCACCTCCAGGGACACCTGCAGGCTCTCGATCGCGCGCCCCTGGTTCTTACTGCATCACGGAGACGGAGGGAGACAATTTTACAATACACAAAGGTCTAGTTTCATATGTTGTCTTTTTATCTTGGACTGCTCATCTTTTAAACTGTAATGTTATCCGTGGTGAGGCTAATATTAAGAGAGTTGCACACCACTGTATCATGTATCTTTTCAAGTTCAGGAATCATATGCAAGTACATGTAGCTTACAATGAGCTTTGAGTTGCAAAGTGAATTTGAAAAAAAGGATAGACAGCTTTTGCAAAGTAAGGCATCAGTAAAAATGATTGATTGATTGATTGATTGATTGATTGATTCGTTGGTTGGTTGGTTGGTTGGTTGGTTGGTTGGTTGGTTGGTTGGTTGGTTGCAATATCAAATGATCGATAACATCTGTAAATACCGACCGCGTGACCTCGAACTCCTCCTCCTTCTCGGCCAGTCTCCTGTCGATGTCGGCCTTGAGCTGGCTGAGCTCCAGGTTCAGGCGCAGGACCTTTCCCTCCTCCACCTCCAGACTGCTCTCCGCCTCCTCCAGAGCCGTGTGGAGCTCCTCCTTCTCCACCTCAAGACGCTTCTTCGCCTTCTCCAGCTCGGCGATCGTCTTGGCTCCCTCCGCGACTGCCTCGTTCAGCCCGGCGACCTCATCTGAAGAAGGTGAAAGTTAGAAAGATGGATAAAAGATTCAATGTAATGAATTCGAAATAACCCCGAGGAACGTTTGGCTTTAAAATCATACAAGAGAGTGCACGTGTAAGAGAAGAGAAAGGATTTGAAGGTACTACAAAATAACGTCAGGCACGACCCAGAAGAGGCATACTCAATGCAATGACTACAGACACACCACCAGTGCCACACAACTTGTTCACAATCTGGGCTGGCCAACACTACAAGTACGAAGGCAACATTCACGATTAATACTATTCTTTAAAGCCTTCCACAACCTAGTCGCCATACCCCTACACAACCTCACCACTAGGAATACCAATAGCACTAGGGGGCACCCACTACGGCTACAAACAGTATACTTCAAAACAGATATATACCGCAGCAGTTACATTCCACGCACTATATCTGATTGGAATCAACTACCTACTGAAATAGCTACATGTACATCATTCACGAACTTCAAACTGGGGTTGGCCCGATATATGGGCCACCCCATACATGAGTAAATAGACATCATGCTAAGACGGCCATCACTTTTTCTTTTATTTTTTTTCACCTTGTACAGAACTTTTTCACTTTATTTGCTATGAGCACTACCACCACCGGCCGTTCTTAGCCGTGCACCAAGACCTACCCCTGGTCGGCTATACCCGCGAGGGTTTTGTACCAGTATCATTAAGATTAAGAAGAAGATTAAGAATTAAACCCAACCAATACTTGTAGTTCGTGCTTATAAACCTGCATTTCCCCTACAATCTCGTGTTACCGACGAAAGGTAGTGGATGCTACCTGAAACGTCTGTTTCCAAAATCATATCCAGTTGCTTGAGTGACTGGGTTTTTTTACCTGGATGTCTAACCTTCACCGACGTACAATAAGACCCATTGTGTGTATATATAATTAGACCCATTCTTCCTTGCTTAACCGAAAAGCTTCACCTTCAAGCTGCTTGTTCTCCTTCTTGAGTGTTTCCATGGCGACCATAGCCTCGTCATAAGCCGTCTTGAGCTTCATCAGCTCGTTGTTCAGCGCGTGGTTTTCCTTCCGCGACTCCTCCAGCTCTGACGTCACCTCGCCAAACTTTGCCTTCCAGCTCGAGATGATCTTGTCCATCAAACGCTGGAAGGTAAATGTCAGTTTGCTGGTAAGAATCTTATATTATGCTGATAATGGAAACCATTGCATTCCTCTACATGGACAGCTCGTCAGTAGCATGCAGAAGTACACAAATAGAATGATTCATAGGTTCCCACTGACGAGACCACAGATAGAGAGAAAAAGTGACGATAGAAGTTGTTTTTTGTCGTTTGTGTCCCTTAATTAAGCTTTATTATTTGGGGTACAGATAACTTCTTTATGGATTCAACACTGTTCAATGGTGCTAGATGGTACTTCATCGCTGGTAGCCCTTCCTTTGTACATAATGGTTAATTCAGATAGAAGTCACGGTTTTTCACCTGTTTCTTCTCCAGCTGTATGACCATGCTGTTACCTGTTTCTTCTCCAGCTGAATGACCATGCTGTTCGACTTCTCCACGTCCATCATGAGGTCCTCGTTCTCCGCCCGGAGTCTGTTCTTGGTCTTCTCCATGGAGGAACACCTGGACACGGAGATCTCCAGTTTCTCCTCCATCTCCTGAAGACGGGCTGTCAGCTTCTTCTTGGCATCTTCCAGCTCTTCCGTCCTCCGGATGGCGTCAGTCTCGTATTTGGCCCTCCAGGCTGACACCTGAAAGTAATGTAGAATTAGGTAAGGCTTATCGTTCTTTTGTGGTGTTTTAGATGATGTATACAATGTAACTAAGGAGCCTTGAGGGGGTTTAGACTCAGTAACATTTGGGAACGCACTTTTCCTGATGCAACGCCGTCATGTGGAAAAAAAGCAGCACAACTCTTTACAGAGATGAATAGATGATGTGCTTAAGAGCAATAAACCAGCAATACTGTACATGGCGTTCTATCACGGCCAGAGCTAAACTAGTTCAAGATTACTGTTACGCAGTACTATGAAGACCTCCAAGCAGATTCTGGAGGGCGAGGGAGTCTGTATCTATTGGCCACATGTATCCATTGACCTCGTGTGGTGTGACCAATTGTTATGGGAGGCCGATGCATACAGGTGGCCATAAAGACTCTCCTTCCCCACAAAATCAACTCGGAGATTACCAATAAACAAACACCTCAGTGTTGGCCTTGGACAGCCCCCTCTGCGTCTCTGTCTTGGCCTCCTGCTCCTCCTCCAGCTGTTCCCGGAGCGTGTCGCAGTCCTGCTGGGCGGCGCGCAGCTGGTGCGCCACCAGGGCCTTCGCCTTGGACTCGTCATCCAACTGGTGCTTCATCTCCTCAAGCTGCTGCAACAGCATGCTCTTGTTCCTGAAAGGACGAGGCAGGGAGTAAGATAGCCTCCACAGCATGCCAAAAACTGGGGGGCTTTGGGGTCTTCATGGTCTTTGGGAGCTTTTATGTGCTATTTTCTTATTTCATATAGACAGCATAGCCGGCCTGGTTGAATTACCCCCGTTTTTTGGACTGTTTTTTTTAACGAGACGAGAGAAGGTTGCTTTCCGCGTGGGCGGAAAGCAACCTTCTCTCGTCGGCTATGTAGGATGGCCGGCTATATTAAAATAACGCGTTAAAAACTCTTCTTCACCGCCGCGGGGCCTGCGCGGAGGCTAGCCAAACCCCCAGTTCTATAAGCCTGCTACGGAGGCAGGGAGTAAGAACTGAGAACATGGACCAGCATGTCATGCAAGATGTCACTACTCTCCAAGCAGAAGTCTGGGCTTTGGCTTATTTTTGGTATGTTTTAGGCCTTTTTTATCCTGATTTATAAAGAACTGAGAAAAATATAGAGGCTTAACATTGTAATGAAAATGTCAAAATGTCAAAAGTACATACCACAAAGGTAATGCATATATTGAAGAACCAAAGTACTGCTAGCTCTATTTGACTGATGTACATGTCCGTGAAGTACGTATAGATGCCATATATTACATTATCATACGTATAGTGAAAGTACACACCACAAAAGTTCTCAACACAATACCATATACATCAGTTGCATTACGATGGAGGAATTAATGTGGAGGAGTACTATCATGCATATGTTTTATTGTCTAACATCCTTGCCTGCTGAGGTGAGTTGTCATACTCTCCGCCTCCTCCAGGTGGCGCTGCAGGTCTGCGTTCTCTGCCAGCAGCCTGGCCTTGAGTCCGGAGATCTCCTGCATAGAGCGGGTGTGTTCGTCCAGCTTCAGGCTCACCTCCTGCAGCTTCTCCGTGATCTCACGGTTCTGCTTCTCAAGACCGACCTGAAGGAGTAATAATATCCAGAACCGGTAGTTTATCCATGCCAGAACCACGCTGTAGCCAGAACTATGCTTTATCCAGAACCGTGCTAAAGCACGTGCTCCAGAACCGTGCTTTATCCAGACTTGTGCATTATCCAAAATCGTCCTTTATCCAGAACCGTGCTTTGTCCAGAACCGTGCTTTATCCTGAACCGTGCTTTATCCAGAAAGGCGCTGTATCCAGGATCGTGCTCTATCCAGAACCGTGTTTTATCCCGAACCGTACTTTATTCAGAACCGTGTTTTATCCAGAACGGCGCTTTATCCAGAACCTTTCTAAGGCACGATTCTGGGAAGTACACAAGAATACAGAACCGTTCTTATGGAAAATCTATATTCTTGGATAAGCGAAGACCGTTATACGATTCGACTTAATAATATGGTACATTGTACTATTTTAATGATTTCAACACTTGCCTTGCTCTCCATGCAGAGTGTTCACCCGAGGATTAGCTTTGGCCGGCATGTTCAGGGAAGTCAATGAATTTCATGAAAGACATCCATAGACCAAAACATTTCCTCAAAGAATACATTTTCCTATTCAAGTTGTAAACACCATTTCTGCTCTGTAATGTCTTTTCTGTTAACATGTTAGAAGCCTGTCACATACCTTCTGTTTTGTCAGCTGTTCCAGGTTTTCTGCCAGATCCTCCACTTCCAGACGGTAGTTGTTCTTTTCCTTCTCCAGTTTTAGTTTGGTCCGCTGAAGAGCCTCGACCAACTCCTGTGGTGTACGGGTAAGAATAAGGATGTTTTCAAGACATAATGGCTACCTGTTCCTTCAAATGATTCGACATGGGTGTATTTGTACGTTTGTCCTAAAACACTACCGTTCTCCCTTTCGCTAACAGCTATTCCATGCTTCTAGAGTCTAATGCCAAATTGTGTATGGAATTTCGCTATGTATCTCTCTGATGTTGTTGAACACAAAGTCTTTGTAGATAAGGTTGGTTTCCGATAATTACTGGTAATTAGCATTAGTAGTAGAAGTTCCCAAGCGTTGCCTTGTACTATTGTTGAATTGATTGATTGATTGATTGATTGATTGATTATTTGATTGATTGGTGACCACCGTGTTCCGTTCTAACCTGCAGCTCGCAGAATAGTAGTAGTAGAAGTTGCCATACGTTGCCTTGCACTATGGTTGATCTCTGAATTGATTGATCGATGGATCGATCGATCGATTGATTGATTTATTGATCGATCGATTAATTGTAACTATGTTCTGTTCTAACCTGCAGCTCTCGGAGCTGGTCGGCGTGCTTCTTCCTGAGCTCGGCCATGTTGATATCGTGCTGCGCGGAGGCGGACTCCATGTCCCTCCGCAGGCTCAGGATCTCAGCCTCGCGCTTACGGGCGTACTCTATCTGTGGGGAGGGGGGAGAATGTTAGTTATATAGAGTCAATTTGTTCACTTGTTTACATGCATGGACTTCCTTTGCTTGCAGGCAATGCCAGTTTCACTTGTCGTGTGGACTTTTGGTAAGGGACACGTGCAGGCAAACAACACAAGCCTGTGTAGGTACAGGAACGACGCAGGTAAATGTTGGTAAATGACCCATCTGGCCCAGTGCAGCTTCAGATACAGGTACACCTAACGGTAGGCCTTACCCACCTGTGCGGAGGTCTGTCCGGCCGACTCCTCCAGCCTGTCCCCGATGTCGTCCAGGTGCCGCTGCGCCTCGTTCTTCGCCTTCTCCGCCTTGGCGCGCGCGCTCCGCTCAGCCTCCAGGTCTGCCTCCAGCTGCTCAATACGGACCTGAGGGAAGAGGCTCAGGAGTTGATGCCTTATCAATAAAAAAACTCCAAGTATGAACTTAATCTATAAATGACAATGACAATGACAATGAACTTTATTGCATGTTCACGCCCTACACGGGCCAAATGCACTTAAGTTAAATAACTTGGTAACAAGAATAGAAGAAGTCATTGTTACATTCGTGTGCTATTTCTCTATTTACAGGATCTAACTACAGGATCTCTTCTCTCTTTTTGAGACATGTATGGACAAATTTACATAGTTTTTCAATTATATCATAGCGCTTGGATGTCATAATATGTTTGAACAATTCTGTTTTCGGCAAGTATGCAAATTTCTTTTCTAACTGTAAGGAGCTAATAAAGGATTTCCGGATGTCATTGTATACCGCACATTCTAAAACAAAGTGTGCTTCATCCTCTATACAGTTATAGTTACATAGAGTGCAAATTCTGCTGTCTGCGGGAGTCTGGTTGTACCTACCAATTTCCAACTGTGATTGGTGATCACTAATCCTTAATTTTGTCATTGCTCGGCGATGCCTGAAATAGGCCTATGTCAAGATGTAAGTAATTCTTGAATATATTTTGGCTCTTTGCTTTCTTTCGTGTAAATCCTTTCATTTGGTGGTTTGATCACGATGTCTATCATGACTGGTTGGCTACATCTTATACTGGACAAAATTTGATGTTATCATCTCCTTCCCACAGAGAAGACATTTTAGGCAATACCTTAAGTGAACACCTGGTGGCCTTACCAGTAGTTCCTTGACCTTACCAGTAGTTCCTTGATCTTGGCCTGGAGCTGCGCCACCAGACTCTGTTCGCCCTCCAGCCGGCTGTTCAGTGCGCCGATTTCAAACTCCCTCCTGGCAGTAGTGAGATGTACAACAGAGATTAGTGTTATCAGGTGGGTAAATCTCTAGGTAAAGGGTTTCTTCAACATAACCAATAGTTAGTTCATGATACTTAGTCAACACTAGCACCAGTTATATATACAGTTTTATAATCAGCATTATGTACATTTGTGTTGCTGAAGTTACATGTACTTAAGGTTACGTGTCCTAAGTGTCGTGTCGTTTATCATCCGGACAGCAGAAGGCGAGCAGAATATTGCTTTCATCTACGTGACAACTATTTACAAAGATGTGATTTTATGGAAATGTGCAATGTTTGCTGAAATCACAAACAGAAATGCCGTAACAACCATAAAGCTACAGCAGTGAATCATAGCATGACAGAGAGATTCGTACTTCTTGATCTTATCTTCCTGCTCACTCTTGGCACGTTCCATTTCCTGTAAGGATTCCGTGTTCTTCCTCAGCTGATCCTCCAGCTTCCTCTTCTCCCTCTCGGCGTCGACTCGGAACTTCCTCTGGCGGTGGAAACTCTCCTCCATCTACAAATATTGATAGGTAGATCATGAAAGTTCATTTGTGTTGGTACATGGTAGCTACATGTTTAGAGCTAAAACCTTAGATCCAACACAAAAAGGTCTCTCGCCAAGAGTTTTCGACCAGTCACTCTGGTCATTCTCTGTAGACTGACCCAGTTAGGCTTGTAGGCAGGTGATGATAGGTAGATGTTAACTTCCTTATATGGGGTGTTTGCACTCACGTGACTATGACGTCAGTGCTGTCCACCATATTGGATGGTTAAACCTGACATATGTAATCAGAACTTGTGGCAGCTGCTTCACAAACACACAGTATGTACATTCAATTTGATTGCTGAAATTACACGTGTGATGTATGATTTGGCTATATGATATGATATGATATGATATGATATGTAGTGGTCGATTTTATGCTTACATCTTCAAGCTGTGATTCCAGCCTGTTCTTGAGCTTCGTCAGGTTGTTGACTTTCTCTTCCTCGGCTTGAAGGTCCACTAGGGTTTGCTAAGGAGACATTGCAGAAATCAAAGTTAATAAAACTTAAAGGAAATCAGCCTTATTTGGCTAAGACGACTTCCCATATGTATCAAAGATTGATATGTAACTAAATAAATGAAAACTGGTACAGCTATGCTGACCTCCTGCAGCTCTCGGAGTTGTTTGTTTTCCCTGTTCAGTTTCTTGATACTGTTCTCTGCCTCGGACAGTTCCTCCGCAGTCCGGCGTACCCTCTCCTCTGCAGCCTTCTTGTCCCTCTGCATCCTAAAAAAACATGACAGATTCTGTGTGAGCCTTTATTTTTACCAGGTTTGTACCTACAGTACAATCATGATTCTTCTCAAATCAATTATGGCTATTGTAGGCCACTTTATGAGTCTACTGTAGGAAAGGAATCGTCATCATTATCATATTGACATATCATCAGGTTACCTGACGGCTCATTTGCATATCATTTTTACGGCTTCATTTCGTCAGATTTTTAAGGACACTGAGTCTCTATCTTAAGGAATATTACTAAAACTGGTACCCTTTACTATAAGCGACCATTCTGTAATACATTCATAGCGGAAGTATGTTCCCAATGAAAGTTTTGCCACAGGTTGATACTCATGCAAAGCGAGAGATTTATCATCACTTTGCAAGACTGGTCTCCAAGTCTTCCACGTCCTTCTTGAGTTCTTCGTTCTCGCCGTCCAGTTTCTTCTTGGCCTGAATGAATGAATGAATGAATGAATGAATGAATGAATGAATGAATGAATGAATGAATGAATGAATGAATGAATGAATGAATGAATGAATGAATGAATGAATGGTTTATTCATTTTGATCAGGTAAAGTACATCACAGCCATGGGCTGACTTGAGTACTTTTTTTACATATTTAAAAACAGTTGGTATTAGGCTCTTTAAATACTCATCTTATCTTTCCTATTTAACAATTCTAAAACACTAGAAACTCTGCCTTAGAACAGGTAGATTGTAGGACGGATTTATATATATATATATATATATATGTGTGTGTGTGTGTGTGTGTGTGTGTGTGTGTGTGACTGTGTGTGTGTGTGTGTGTGTGTGTGTGTGTGTGTGTGTGTGTGTGTGTGTGTGTGTGTGTGTGTGTGTGTGTGTGTATCAAGTCACAAGGAACCTGCCTGTGTGAGCTGCAGGTTGGACTCCGTCAGCTCGTTCAGACTCTCCTTCATCTCCTCATTCTCCTGCTGAAGAGCCGCCTTGTTCTTCACCAGCATGGCGTAACGCTCCTCCTGGTCCTCTTGGAGATCGTGCATCTATGAGGAGAAATTGTTCACAATAAAAATAGAGAGAGAGATTTGTTACGAACATTTTGGGGGAGAATTGACATACCGGGTCACCTTTCAAAGATGTCAACCCCGAAACTGGACTGTAAGAATTGATACTATCACACCAAGATGGCCCCTTTTTAATCTCCAAGCAGATCTTTTGATGGCTGGAATTCAGTATAAACTTGGTCATGATCTTCCCCTGCCGTCGAATGAATCTGCTGCCTGGCCTATAGCTACCTAGTTTCATAACTGTGGTTGGATTTTTTTTCAAACGGACAAAAGGATTCTCGTTATTTGAGAAAAGACGAGAAATATGCATCAATGACAATAGTTTTTGGTTCCCTTCGTCGTGTATTTCCAACTAGTATTTGCAATGTTTGCATGTTATTATATTTTTTAGGTTACAAGACAACGATTATTTCTCTCTAGCTTACCGCGTGCATCTGGTTCTGGATGTCGTTGCTCTGCTGCTCCAGGGCTGTGCACTTCCTCTCCAGCGCCTTGCGCAGGTTCTCCTCCTCCACGTACCTCTCCCGCAGGTCCTGCAGCTCAGCCTCCTTCGCGCGAAGCTCCTCCTCCGTGCGGAAACCTTGCAGCAGCGGCTTGATCTATAACATATGGTATTTATCAACTTTATAGCCTTGATGACTTGACTTTACTCTACATTTAGCTGATATGATGAAGAAAGACTAACAGCAGCCAGAAATTATTCCAACAACCACAACAATTACACTGCACTGCAGAACATCATCACGAACTGCTGAGGGTTTAAAAGAATTCAACAATTGAAAGGATTCAACAATTCGTAAACTTGCCTCACATCCCCCCTCTCAGGAGGTCAAGGAACAAGGTAGGTAGGTACACTTGCAAGCTGACATCACTGGGAAGTACGTCAGATATTGTAACATGCTTCGCGTTATTTTGGAGTTCAGATATTCTATAGATCTAGACGGGGCAACAAGCTACAGATTAGATGTTAGACAAACAGCATTCCAAAAAGTATGGCAAGCCAAGACGTACTTTGACGTACAGCCGCCACCACTCCCACGTCCTGAGCTTTAGCCACTTCCGGACGTTCCGCTGCAGAATCCGCCTGGCCTCCCTACAGACGGTTCAACACAACAATAAATGTTCGATAGGGGGATCATCTGTGAAAGTTTTACACTATTTACTGTAGATTACAATATTTAGACGTTAGAATATTGGACACCCAACAGGATTACTTTTCAAGAGGAGTGAGAAAGGCCCACATACAGCAGAAAACTTCAACCATCTCTAAGCCGAGACGAGGGCCGACACCAACTATCGGGCACCTTTGACCCGTTGCTGACATCACATTTCCGTTCATGCCAAATACGTCACAAGTTTCCTTCCCCATCGCAAGGTCGTACAATTTGTGCAACCAGGAAAGATATACATGTAGATGGTTTCTCTATTCTCTTGTTGTGTCTTAGGCGTTGCATTGCACTGTAGTTCTGTACCTTGTAGGTTGTAACCCTGACGCATAGGACCGCACGTTTGTTCTAGATACCACCGTTTGAAATAGTTGCTAGGTTACCTTTGCGCCAGCATCTTCAAAAGTCGCATCCTGTGAATGGCGCCCCGCGCACGCGCCTGGACGTTCTTCATAACACGTGACAGGATGTCGTCACGCAGGTCCTCCAGGTAACCAACCACGGCTGACTTGAAGAACACCTAGGAAAGGTACAAAAGATACAACTTGCACTTCTGGTGACTTCCAACATAACATGATATATAAACAGAAGTTGTATATTGTAATCTCCAAGCAGATCATATGGTGGCAAGGCAGTACCCATTGGCCACAGGAGTATCCTTTGGTGGCTAATGGACACTCCTCTGACCAGTGGATACTGCCTTGCTACCATATGATCTGCTTGGAGATTAGTCTTAGTCTATTGGGCCTACAAAAGAAATCGTTGTGTTGCAGCATTTATCTGTTGGTAAGAGTGCGTGAAGACAAATAGATTGTATAGATTAAGTGGTCACGAGAGTCTTCCAAAGTCTACAACACTTACTCGTAAAGGTTTCTTGTCTATTTCATAACAACGTAACTGGTTTCTACTATTTGCCGGCGTCCCCTGACCTACCATGGTGCTTCCCATGGCGAACCGGGCGCTCTCCAGCTCGATCGCCTCCAGGATCTTCTTGGTGGCTTCTTTATTCTCCACGAACCCTCCGGCCACGACCTGGGGGGCCAGGATCTGGTACCTGCAGAGGAAAGGCATCAGCAAAACTTTTGGTGATCCAAGATTCTTGACAAGTTTGTGTGGGTGGGCAGTCACTGCACAAATACTTTGCAAGACAAATCAGTAACTGGTTAGCAACCAAATCATCGTATTTTATCATACTAAACATTTCTCATAGTATCTTGACAGACCTGCAACTTTAACCCACCAACATGGTGAACGCTAAATCACGTCATGGTCACGTGAGTGCAAAAGGCTTCATTCAAAATTTCAAAGGCTTCTAACCTGTGTCTGAACACGTAGCAAGGCATCCCATTGGGCTATGGAGAACCGTTGAACTTTTTTACCTGATGCCATTCATGAGCGCAGTGTAACCAACCAACATGGCGTAGGGTTGTTACGTCATAATCACTCTAGTGCAAATGCGCTCTAGCCAGGAAGAGCTTACCTGTGCCTGAACTCGTGGTAAGGCATCCTGTTGGGGTAACCCTTCCTACAGATCCTGATGCCCTCCAGTACACCGTTACAGGTCAGCTGGTGCATCACTAGCGGAGAGTCGATGACGAAGGCAGACTTGGTCTCGTTGGGGATGATGCAGCGCACGAAGTGCGGGAAGGTGTTCTTCAAGGTGAACATCAGCTTGTTGAGCTGCTCCTGGTTACAGGAAATGTGGCAAATAAAGTTTTAATTTGGTGTTTCTCCTTAGCTCCTGTGCAGAGAGGAACTAGTCCTATGTGGGGCAACAATAAAAACAACATAGTTGCTACATCAGGAAACACGTTGAAAGGGTACACCGCTTAATATTTTACGCTTTATCTCAAAGAACGTCACATTTCAGAGGGGAAACTAAATAGGTGATGGTGATATCTCTCTGAAGAGCTAAGGGAGCTCGAGAGACAGAAGTCAAGTGGAAGAAGATGGAGAAAGACTGAACACAGCTGCAGGACGTCTTTATGACAACATATGCAGAATACAGTAGATGATGATATCTCTCAGCGTCAAGTACATTTTCCTACCAAACCTTACCCTATGAAGAGCTGACACCGTCTGGAACGCCGCGCTCTTCTTGGCTTTCCCCTTCTTCGGTTTCTTCCCCTCACCTGTGAAAACCACATCGTACACAGGTGTGGTTAAATACACTTTACATAAAGGTGGAGTTATGTGGTCAAACACCAGTTTGTCACATGCTGATCTGTTCAGAAAATGATCACCAGAAGAAGAATTAGGACTGTCCAAGATATTTAGATTCTGAATAAGACAACAAAACAAGGTTGAGAAAATATAATGCTTTTTGACTAAGCCTAACATACACAAACACACAACAATATTCATTCATTCATTCGCACACAAACACATATACACACACAAACACACATTCATATATACACACAAACACACACATAGTCACACAGGCACATACACACACAAACACTTACACACACTTTATCAAAGACTTGTGCTAGCCCCTGTTGTTTGAGTAATTAGGATATGTTACGTTTTATTCTACATTAGGCCTTATTGAACACATTCATTTTATTGTTTTTTGTTGTTGTTGGTGGTGTTTGTACTTTGCCATACATTGTACCATGTACAACTGTCGTGCAATAAAGTTCTATGTAATATCTTTTATAAAGAGACACACACTTCTATATCGTAATAGGACGTACCCTCCTGACTGTTGGACCCCACGTAGTCCTTGAACATGTCGGACATGAGTGGACTGGTGGACTTCTGCAGAACTTCCACCACAGACTCGTTAATCGGGTCCTTGTTCTTCTCCAGCCAGTGAGCCACGTTGTAGTTCACCTGAGGACGAATCAGACACAAGAACTCTCAAGGTATCTTAGCTTCGTCTTAACCTGTATAGATCCTTAAAATGCGGTGACTCTGAGATGTTTCAATGTTTCCATGTCCATTGCCTCAAGAAACCAAAGCTATGAAATAGGGGCTGGTTTAGATGGTGAAATGCTTTTAATAAATTGCTGACGTCACTGATCCGTAAGGTCACGTGCCCTATGGGTTTGGCCATTCGGCCATGATGAAGGCTTCAAACTTGTTAATTGTGTTCGTTTGTTTGTTTGTTTGTTTGTTTGTTTGTTTATCGGTGAAATACATAAATCGTGCCATGAGGGAAGAGGCCAGAGTCAGAGAAAATATCTAACAAGATCCAGGAACATAGTTTAAGTCTGTGTTGAAACACAGTTTTAGATTTCGCTGTGACAAAGACAAACCTGTACTCACCGTAGCGGCGTAGTGCTTGATAGCGAAGTCCGCCGTGGACTTCACCTTGTGGCCGACCTTGGGCGTCTGGAAGATGCTGGACTTCCCGGCGTGGTTGTTGTTCAACTTGGCCTTGAACGTCATGTCCGTGGCCTTGGGAAACATGCACTCCTCCTCCAGGATGGACATGATACCGAGAGGCTGGAGCAGATTAGCACAATTGCAATGTTGTTAAATCTTTTACATCTTGAACAGCAGATTCGGCTTTTTAGTATAACCTGCTGTATACGGTCGTTAACCCACAACCTTTGATTTTATTGCATCTATTTTTAGTCTAAGTATTTAACATTTGTGGCACAACGCTCAGATAACAACAAATAGAAACTAGGTACATGACGTACAGAACTGAAAGACTGGACGATGGTTTATGCCTTCAGCAGGGAGGTGTTTCTGTGTCTGTCCGGGCAAAGTAGGTTGACAGTACGTAGGTAGGGAAGATTGACAGGCAGAATGGCAGGTCAAAATACCAGACACAATAAAAGGTTGAATTTCAAGGTGACGCAAAGCTTGTTGTAATTAAATCCCTTTGTCAAAGGCAACGCTATCTAAAACACGAACGCCGTCAGCAGCTGCCCCTCACCTTCTCGATCAGGTTGATGGTTGCCTGCAGGTCCATGCCGAAGTCTATGAACTCCCAGAAGATGCCCTCCCGGTAGTAAACCTCCTGCTCCAGCACGAACATGTGGTGGTTAAAGTACTGCTGCAGCTTCTCGTTCGTGTAGTTGATGCACAGCTGCTCGAAGCTGTTCAGCTGTGAACACAGAGAAACATAGACATGATTAGCTGATCTGTCTCTCCCATTCTTCTACAAACATGACGTGCTTAGCTAGAGTACTGTTGCAGTTTCTCAGTGTGGTTGATGCACAACTGCTTGCAAGCAACTGTTCAGCTGTGAATTGTCCATTAGGTGTGTACCACATGGCCCGTTGCTGATGGTATTCCTCCTGTTTTTGTACAAACATGCGGTATTTTACGAACCTGTCCGTGCAGTTGATGCTAATCTGCTTAAAAGTGTTTCAGTTTTAAAACTATTGTCCAACTAACTAAACAGATACCAATGCCTGGAAAAGACCTGGATGGCTCTAAGAAATATCTTTACGAACTTGTAAAAAATATCATACCATTACAGAGTTGCAAACTTCGAAACGTCACGTTATGTCACGTATATCATGATATGATACGTTTCGATTGAAACTACATACGTCGAAGATCTCGAAGCCCGCTATGTCCAGCACGCCGATGAAGTATTCCCGCTTCAGTTCAGTCGCCAGAGTTTCGTTCAGCCGAACCTGGAGCCAGATGAACAGCCTGGGAACAGCAGGAGACGAGACTAGTCAGGAAACGCACAATTTTGTGTACTGATATCCATACTAGTAATGGCTCCTGTCACCCATGTTTGTTTGTTTGTTTGTTTGTTTGTTTGTTTATTTGCTTCTGTAAGAAAATGCGTTCTGTCAGTAAAATACACATTTTTTGTGCAGATAAACGTACTAAATAAAATCGAAGCGTTATCCATATGCCAACAATGGCCATCGTCCCTTTTTTGGTTGCTTGTTTATTTGTTTGTTTGTTTTTTATTTGATAAGTTGTGTAAGAAACGCGTTTTTTGTCAGGTAAAATACCATTTCTGTGCAGATAAACGTACTAAATAAAATCAAAACGTTATCCATGCCAACCATGGCTACCTCCCCTTATTTACTTGTTTGCTTGCTTGTTGTTTGTTTACCTGTTGTAGATGGACTTGCTGAGCGCGCCCACGGAGTAGGAGCACTGCTCGGCCGTCTGTTTGTTTGTTTGTTTGTTTGTTTGTTTGTATGCTTTGCTTGTTTGTTTACCTGTTGTAGATGGACTTGCTGAGCGCGCCGACTGAGTAGAAGCACTGCTCGGCCGTCTGGCCCTTCACCACGTACTCGTTCCCAACCTTGACCCGCGGCTTCAGCAGGGCCTTGGTGATGTCTCCGCTCGGCGCGCTGAACAGATGTCCCACCTTCTCAGCAGCTGCAGGACGGGGTGGGAAAAACATATTGTCATTTTGGTGTTTTTCAAAGAGCCCTGGGGCTACAAACAATTCACTTATGATAAATAGATAATCCATGCCCTATGGGGCTACGTACAGGTGAACAGATGAAAAGGTTGCACTCGGCGCGCTGAACAGATGACCCACCTTCTCAGCAGCTACAGAACGGAACCACGGAGCTCTGTTAGCGCCTTCGCCAGGAGGGTTCTGTCTTTGCCTTTGGTAGCGTTTGCAATGGTGAAACTTTTGGGGGGGGGGGAGGGCTATCAACAATTCACTATGAACAGTCCCATTATTGAGACCAGACACTGTCCAAAGGGGCACTTTACATAAGAGTCACTTTAGATATATCGTCTCAAAATCACATATATAACATTGTAGAACTTTATTGCACGACAATAGTACATGGTACAATGTACATGTATGCCAACGACTATTGAACATAGTACAAAAAGAAAAGACATACGTAGTGGTGTGCGTAAGACCTACAAAGACAAGACCACTGTACTTCCTCAAAGAAACCAAAACCTCTCACCTTCCATGCCGTCGCACTCGGCCTGCTCTCCTCTCTCCTTAAACTTCATGTTGCCGAAGTGACAGATCCCCGATACCAGACGGTACACCTGGAAGAAGGCATATGTATCAAAAACGAAAACAGATACAAACAAACAAGCTTGTGGGACAAGGATAGTTACTCTTCTTTAACAACTTTGTGAACTAGGCGTACATGCTACTCCGAAAGCCACTGGATTAATCAATAACACTAGCTAAGAAAAGAATAATGATTTGTACATTCTATTTACATGACAGCGATAACACAAGTGGACGAAGTTGATGAAGTAGTGTCTACATGCGCCAAGCGATGTGATGTTGATGGAACTGTGCTTCAGCAACAGCGACCCGTATGATATTTGATATGATAAAGTTTCTGGTTGAAGAATACTTCAACAGGGTGGGTATCATAACATAAAAGACAATTCCATGAATACCAGTTTAAAAAGTGTACGACAGGTATTGGCATGTAGTTAGGCCTCTACACAATAATTCTTCTTTTAAACCATTCATACCATAGTGAACAGAGATGCTGTACCTGCATCTTCTCGTCATTGCTGAAGCCCAGGATGTCAAACGCCTCGTCTGTGAACCGCATCTCCTCTCGGTCATCGACCCCGGCGATGGTGACGTCACCCTGGGAGATGTACTTGTACTCACGGGCGTCGTTCACGAGCAGCAGCTTTTCTGCAGACGCAGAAGAGAAACTTTTGAAATTTGTTTAAAGTTTTGGCCCAACACAAAGAAAGTTCTCTCACTCATAGCTTTCGACCAGTCACTGGGTCAAAGGTATCTGGTGAAAGGACCCGGCGTTAACATCACAGTTCAGATGAGCCACGTGACTAGCCCCACTGGGTCAGTCTACTGAGGAAGACCAGAGTGACTGGTCGAAAGCTCTGTGTGAGAGATTTTGTGGTGTTGGACCGTAAACTTTTTCAAATGTAACTTCCAACACAGACGAACTTTTTCCGTGATAGTGTGAGAAACTTTTGTGGTAGATGACTGAGCCGCGGCTTTGTTCAAATAGCTTCATTTGCATGGTGGGTGGGAAGTGATTTTGACAGTAGATTGGTAGTGCACGTAAAGAATTTGCAGAATGTCTTACCGGTGTATTGTGGGAAGGCCCCCGACACCAGCTGATAGAACACGTGATAGCATCGTTCTCCAGGCGTCTGCGAGATCACGCGAGACTTCTCGAGAAGATCTGTGAGAGAAGGAAAACCACACGAGATTTCAACTCACGACGACCGCGTATCTTTTCGTAGCTACAACTTTTCCTAGCAGCTATTATGACCTGGCTGTCTGTATTCCTTGCTGTATTACTTCGTTTCTCTTCTCTTAGGCGCCTCATGTCTTTTACCACCAAATATAATTCGATGTCCTAGCTAGACATTGCTTTGTTTGTTCGTTTGTTTGTTTGTTTGTTTGTCAATAAACAACAAATGAAATAATCTGCCTTTGCGTACTTTGTATTTACGTGTTGTCCCTTGGTTTGGTTTGGTTAATCTCCAAGCAGGTCCTAGGGTGGCAAAACACAGTATCAAATTGGCCAGGCAGTATCCATTGGCCAGAGAGCTAGGGTCCATACACCTTCCAAGTTGACCCTCCCTGGCCAATTTGATACTGTCTTTTGCCAGCCTAGGATCTGCTTGGAGATTCCCTTCGGTGTAACACACCAGCTAGGTAGCTAATAGCTGTTTCTAACCAAAGTGTTGGAATCAAAATGAATGAACAAACATCAGAAAACGGAACTCACACGTCTCTATGTCCGTCCCGGCCAGCTTGCCCTTGCCGAAGATCATTTCTGTATCTGTATAACCGGTGTAACCGTCCTTCGGCATAACACACCGGCTAGCTAGCCAGCTAACCAAACTATTGGAATGAAAATGCATGAACAAACATCAGAAAACGGGACTCACACGTCTCGATGTCCGCCCCGGCCAGCTTGCCCTTCCCGCCGAAGTGGATCCGGATGAACTTGCCGAAGCGGGAGGAGTTGTTGTTCCGGTTCGTCTTGGCGTTCCCGAAAGCCTCCAGGACGGGGTTGGTCTGGACAACCTGGTCCTCTAAGGTTGCCTAGAACGCAACAGAAGGGGTGGCCGGAGACAGAAACATGTCATCAAAGTTGTTCTCAATTATCAAATAGTCTAGTGATGATTTTGTATTCTCATAGTGTGAAAATGGTGAGAAGATTGGGAAATTGTATTGGTGAACGTTTTGCAGTGTTGCCTATTCCTTATAGTTAGGACCAAATTTACAAACCTTCTTCCCGCCGAAGCCTCCTCCCTCCCGAAGCTCGCCCAGGGCGGCGACGTTGGCGAAGTACGCGATCACTTTCTTCGTGTTCTCCGTCTTACCGGCACCAGACTCGCCACTAGAAAACAGTCATTGTGTTACTCTGTCTAACACCGTATGCCTAAAACAAACTATGAATTGACTGACTATATTATTGATAGCATATCGTGATAGAAAGGGACTGCAAATCGTTAAAACAGCAGAAAGAAAGTTTATGATTTAATAAAAGGGATTGAGAAGAATCAGCGATGCTCACGTGATTAAAATGGACTGATTGTCGCGATCTAAAGAGGGAGTCGACAGAAGAGAAAAAGTGAAAGAATAAAACAAGAAGGCAAAGAGATGACGCATACCAGGCTCATAGTCAAAACGAATGAAACTATCACTTGAAAGACGTGCCAAGATCAGCTGAAGAATTACACATCTACTTACATAGATACAGAAACTTACGTAACACGTGACCTTACGGAAACTTTCCGTAACACGTGACCTTACGGAAACTTTCCGTAACACGTGACCTTACGGAAACGATTGGGTCAATCACCTTGAAGAAGATCGGAGGTGTGGTCAACATTCCACGAGTCAACTCTTAAATAGAGTTGGAAAAAATACGAGAACCAATCAAATTGGTGTGGCCTAAGCATTTACATCAGGTGAAAAAGATGTGCCTCAAGGACTAGTAAGGAGCTAATGTAAGGTATTTACCCTCCAGCATGTTCCTGTAGGCTTCATCCGCGATGGCGAACAGGTGGGGGGGGACGTCCATCCGGCGTTTGGCCCGGTACATCGCCACTACCTCGTTCTTATAGATGGGCAGGCGGGCGTACGGGTTGATCACCACGCAGAACAGCCCGGAGTACGTCTGGAGATGGGAATATATTTGTGTTACTGTTGCGTTACTGTCGCGTTACTGTAGCGTTATTGGTGCGTTACTGTAGATGGACAGGCGCGCGTACGGGCTGATCACCACGCAGAACAGCCCGGAGTACGTCTGGAGATTTTAGAAATATAGCGTTACTGTAGCGTTTCTGCAGTGTTGCTGTAGTGTTACTTCAACGTTACTGTTGCGTTGCTGTAGCATTACTGGTACGTTACTGTTGCGTTACTGTAGCATTACTGGTACGTTACTGTTGCGTTGCTGTAGCATTACTGGTACGTTACTGTTGCGTTACTAGTGCGTTTCTGTGGCTTTACAGTGCATTACTGTTACAGTAGTGTTACTTATTGTAACGTTATTGTTGCGTTACTGGTACGTTAATGTAGTGTTACTGGTACGTTACTGTAGATGGGACTAAGACTTACATAGCTTAGATGATCTTGTTGTTGTAGCATGTTGTGTAAGACTTACATAGATGAGCTTGTTGTTGTAACATGCTGTGTAAGACTTACATAGATGAGCTTGTTGTAACATGCTGTGTAAGACTTACATAGATGAGCTTGTTGTTGTAACATGCTGTGTAAGACTTACATAGATGAGCTTGTTGTTGTAACATGCTGTGTAAGACTTACAGAGATGAGTTTGTGGTTGTAGCGTGCTGTGTGAGACTTACATAGATGAGTTTGTGGTTGTAGCATGTTGTGTAAGACTTACATAGATGAGCTTGTTGTTGTAACATGCTGTGTAAGACTTACATAGATGAGCTTGTGGTTGTAGCGTTCCCTCATGTTGTGTAGCACGGAGCCGTCGTGCAGGTAGGTGAGGTTGGCCATGTCCTCAGCCAGGGAGAACTTGGGCGGGTTGAGGGGGTGGGTGTTGTCCTTCTTCACTGTCACCGTCTGCGGAGAGAGGCAGCTGTTAGAGACAACTTTCTGCATCAAGTGATCCACTGCTCAGCATGCATAGACTAAGTGTCAGCCTTTTTAGATTTCGTCCGCTCCTAAAATGTCTGACACTCAGGCTAGAGCATTCGAGGTTCATAAGATCGTTTTCTGGCACTGCTTTCTGGCAAAGCTAATTCATGGTACCATGATGGTACTGATGTTTACCTGTTTAGTAACGGTCTCCACGGTGACCATGTCGCCCTTGGTTGCCCGGATCTCTCCCTCCACCCAAACCTCCTTCTTGTCGGGGACGAACAGAACTTTCTTCGCGTCGAACGGCCTGCAGGAAAAAACAAAACATGTCATGCATGCAAGGGTGCAGAACTTTCTTTTTCATGATTTGACATGAGAAGGAAAACATTGTTTTTGCTACATTTCCTCTTCTTCTTCTTCTCCAAACAGTGACCTCTGACCTGACTGAACCAGACTGTCTCTCACGATGGTAACTGGTGTTGGGTTGCATGATGTTGCAATTTTATAGAAGGAGGGATTTAGACTCCTGTCATGATTTTTTTATGCTTGCAATGTTTGAAAGTTTATTAAAGATGAACATCATTAGAAAGAAACTATGCAAATCAGGGGCTCATATGATCACGTATGTGAATGTGCTTGAGTAAGAATTAACAGAGTAGACCATATGAGAAGGTAAACATTATGCATTTGCTTTGCAAATTTTCTAGTTACATTCTGTTTTAGACAAGCCGTAATGTCGCACCTGTTGCGGATTTCCAGCATCCGTTTCTCGTCCCCGGCCAGATACCGCATGAAGTTCTCTTGCTCGTAGTTCGCCATCTTGGGCGTCCAATCAGGAGCGCTCGCTCAACTGACCAATAGCAGGAGTCGTTACAGGGACTCAGGAGTACAACAGCCTCGGCGATTCCGCTCTGGAAAGTTGGAACAAAAGTACCTTTTCAGCGCACACGATCGATAACAGATTTAGTTAAGAATCCAAGCAGGATAAACTGAAATTATGATACTTCAAGTTAGGAATCAAGGCATTAATATTTATAGGACTGTTGACTATAAAGTTGACTAGTTGTTTTTAACAATTAATGTACAATCATGTACATGTTAGCGAACAGTGATATGGAATATCAAATGGTGATGATGATAATAACTTGGTAGTGACATGCGGCATTAAGATCGGTGGAAAATGCTTAGGATTTACTAGCGAGTCCTTTTTGTTCATTTTGAAGTTTTTCTTTCAAACTCTTTTTATTTATAAATCTTTATTTATAATTCTTGTGGCCAGGGTGGACTATCAATAAAGAAGGTTACCAAGGATAGACCCAGATGGAAAGAAAAAGCCTTGGCCTTATGTCTCGCTGGGGATGAAGAGGATAAGTAAGAAAGTGAGTGTCTATAAACAGAAAATTGCCTTTTGATATCAGTTCCTTCCTTATTAGCATGAGCCCAGCCCTTACCCAACATAAGTACTTGTATGTCTGGAATCTTAAACATCTCCATGGTGTACTTATGGATTATATTACCCGATTTATCACAATTTGGAAAGTAAATAAACCAAAAATATCACTTCGTCGTCGTCTGCTGACAGCCTTGAATAAACTAACTATAAACGCTCAGCAAGACACAAAAAACATCGTCAACACTTAAAAAGTAAAGAATTTTGAATCACTTCAGTCGGAGAAGGATGTTTTGTTGCACAATATGCAAAATCTATACAATACTTTTGACACCAGGAACACAAGGAAAGGTAAGTAAATACGGTAAAATACCACTACAGAGTTTATACATACATCTAAATGTAGAGTTTACTCTACAATACCTGAGATCTAAACATTCTTTCAGATACTCATCTATAACTAATTTCATAGATATGCATATCTTACGCATAGATTGGTCAAACAACTTTTTGTTGAATCTAGGAAACTTTGCCTTGACATATGATGTGCGTTAACGTTGGTAAAGAAAATGTTTTGTTTCCGCTAAAATTGTAAATAAAAGAAAACCAAACAAAAATAGAAACGGAGAGCAGACATACCTAACCGCGAGTCCAAAGCTGTGTGACTTATATCCAGTCTGTCCGGAGTTTTTATATGCGGACTTTCATGTTGACCCGAGCACGTAAAAGTTATGAAAGGGGCGCCAGAAGTTCTCACGACTTGCTACACTCCCTGTCGATCGGGCCTTTAGTAGAGGCAATGTCAAGTTTCATCGCATTCCAAACTTGCCATGTTTGAAGTTCAGTCGGCGAATGTGCAGTCTAAAGTTACTCCGGATGTGATATTTGCGGATCGACTCTCACAGTAGGATAGTAGGATACACACCCTGTTATGTGGTCCTTTAACAGAAAGCGTCAATCTTTTCAAGTTTAATGTTTCCTGGTTTGAAAGATATAAAAACTGCACGTCTGGCAAATGCAGCTAGCCTCTACCAGGCTTCAGAAGCTGCTGGAAAGAGTAGAACTTGGCCAAACACTATAACATGCCGAGGGAGCTGGTCTGCTATAGGAGTACAGTTTTGGCAGTGGAAAACTGTACACCTTTAGCAGACTAACTCCTCAGGTATGTTATCTGCCAATTTATTCTCTTTCCAGTCGCCCCTAAACCCTTGTAGAGGCTAGAATGTGGTGTCTAATATCACCATAGCTTTGGAAGGGGGCGCCACCTGCAATATCGTACTCTGTGCTTAGACTATCATCAGATTGCGGTTTTACGCAGCTTGTATCTACAGTACAATACGACTGGTGAGTTACGCCGAAAGGTTGCGAAACAAACCCAAGGAACTTACAACAATTGAAATCCTGTACCGGACAACTTGGAATGTAAACTCAGTTATATACATATTTCAGTGTTGACATTTTAATCCCAGGCAAAGCACGACCCATAACCAAACATGAAAAGAATAACAACTTCTGCTTTAGGTGCGGCATCTTGTCATCTGGTCCGCCCGTATTAGAGTCTCGGCGTATCAGGCACATTCGGCACAGGTCATGTACGATTTTTATGCTCTTGAAATATTTAAGCTGAGTACTATGATAGAACTAACCACAGACAAGGATCTAAGATAGCCTTTTCCTTAACTATACAGCTGGAGTTGCATGGATTTCCCCAAGAATGCCATCAGTTAGCGACTGTGCTACTGTCTTGTATGTGACCGTGCTGTGCAGCAATGCACGTTGCTTTGAAATGTATCCCCAGAACTCCATTCGGAAAGTGCGCACATATGTACATAGGGTCATGGACGGCGGATAAGGTATGTTTCGCTCTAGGTCTGTTTTCATTTTATTCCTTCCCCCACGTGCTGCCAACCTAGTCTGCTCGGACAAGCAGATTGAAACCCACAATTCTTCCGTAGAAATTCTTCAAGTACAAATAGCTTAGTAATAGTTGTAATTGTGTGTGGAAAACGAATTTAATACCGAGCAACACCTTAGTGCACGTATGTCGTCCTGAAATTTTACACTAATCTCCATGTCCTTTTTGGAAGTAAGGTTTGCTGTTTTCAGCTGACGAATAAGGCTTGAAAAGACTTAACGGCCAAACCACGGTCGCCTTGTGACAGAATGGTGGTGACCGCGTCACCCCTGGCCTTTATCAAACTCCCTCTCAACCTGTGGCGACGGCTGAAGACCAAAATGAAGAGTTGGAGGAGATTTTTCAGCCGCGAAGTTCTACTGACGGTCGGTCTGGTCATTTTCTGTCTGATTGTCGGCGCGATGACGCTGGTGGTTTGACCTGCAAGGTCAACACTGAACTCTCGCGGGGGACGAGAAAGTCAGCCTCGCGAGATTTCAACGTCACTCATTCATCCCAAAGGTATTTAATAGTACACGTAACTTTTTACAGCTCTCTATGGCAATGTTAGTGGTATATAAACCTTTCTTGTCGTGGGATTTGGCCTGAACATGTCTAAACTATATTTCGGACTATTCCTTCGTTAATAAGGTGTTTATGACGCTGGTATTTGACGTAACTGCGTTATATACAAAAGGACATGGTATGTTAATTGATATACCATTAGGAGAGTACGCTTTAGGTTTATATGTTACATGCGCTGAGTAAGCGGTCATTTGGCTCAAAAACAAGTAACGACGTGACATTTTAACGGACGGAACGTGCCTGAGTCCGAATATCGTCGTCGTAACTTGATTTGATTGTAGAATTTGAGAAGGAAGAGGACGAACCGATATCGTGGGAAACTTGAACAACTTGATGAAAACCCATCTGTATTCGAGGCATATGAACGGAATTGGTGTTAATATTGTGTTTGAATATACTCGTAAAAATGGCGATGTTTACCGGTTCACGGCATCAGTAAGTAATTGCTGACTTGGTTTTCCTCTGAAAACTGTCGTTTTTTTCCCCAGTTCCCGGTCGCTGCTGAGCAGCTGCACACCGATTCTCCACCCCCAAGACCGTCACTATCAACCCAACAGAGAGAGCCGTAACTAGTTGGACGTCTGCAGCTGTTGTAACCAGCACAAACATGTGCCCACTCACCAGTAACACAGAGAGAAACTGTGGAACAGTGCCCAGGGAAAACACCGTAGTCAAGAGGAAGCCAGAAACTACAGAACTACAGAAAAATATCGTTACGGTAGTTCAGAGGAACTACCGTTTAACCTGTTGTAGAATGATGTGGGGTTTATGATTAACGTCGGTCTGGCTTAACTGTATATTCTACCTCCAGACTTTCACCTTGTAAATATACAGTCGTACTTGTCTTCCGACTCTAGACCACATTATTATGATGTGCCAAAAAGAATGCTAATTTCTTCCTGTCTCAAAATACTTTATCTCTTCTTTCGCTGAAAGCGCACAATAAATATGCCAAAAAACAGTTACTCAAGCAACTGGATATGATTTTGAAAACGTCAGACGTTTCAGCTAGTATCCACTAGCTTTCGTCAGTGACTGAGAGACCAGAGGGGAAAGCAGGTTTATATACACAACCTGTTGATTGATATGCAAATAAAGTGAAGACAAATTTTTGGAAGTCGAAAAAGGAACAAAAGTCAGACAAGTCAAGACAAGATGATGCAAATTAGTCTGAAAGCTCCTGTTATACAGGACAGGAGCTACACTTAAGCTCCTGTCCTGTATAACAGTCTAACCTTCATCGCCGCACAATAAATATATCATCCATACTTGAAATCTTAGGGTACTAGTATATTTTAGTTTTATTATTAATTATACAGTATGACCTTTTGGTAAATGAATAAATGAAACGAGATATCCTTTATCAGACCTCAGACTTTTTGCATCGAAAGATGGAGTTTTCCAGTGTCATGATTTATTTTTTTAAATATCACTTCTATTCAAAGTCACATATATTACTGCGTTCAGTTATCTGTAGTACCACCTGCCGTCGCTAGCCGTCGCTTCTGCATGACGTCACCCAACGTCACGTAACAGGTGTCAGCCACTCCACTTCAAGCAGATGTATGGGGGGCATCGCGTAAAGTAAACATGACGTCATTTCTATTCCAATCGTTTCTATTAATATTGTGTTTTTTTCAATCCTGCTTTGAACAGTTACTCAGTTTGCTTTGTGGGCTACAGTTTTGCGTTTTAGTTCTATAAACGTGTCTCTCTAGTTCACAAATCGCCGGCGTACCTCTAGATAGATATAGAAGCATAGCTAAGCCCAGAAAAAAACCTCAAAGCAGCGACCCAGTGCATGGATCATAGTCCCGTACGTGTTTCCCGCTTCGTGCCAACTGCGCCTCTCGCCCGCCGCAGTCTCTATATATACGGGCTATTTATAGAACAATGATTCAAGTGAGTTCAACAAAAGCCGGTGAGAACTTGTGTGACCCGGCAGTACTCAGGGTGTGGCCGTTTCTAAACCTCCCTGCCTAGGCGTGGTTACTGCGGTTTGGGGCAGTCATGTAGCTAAAGGAAACATTCAGTTAACGAGTATGAGTTCACTATAACGTCACTTCATCAAAACATTGCGTTTTAACGTTGACACTGGTAATATGGTCTTTACGTACTCTCCAGGATTCTTTTTGGCGTGTTTTAGATGTTTTATCGGGCTCTCTTTTGATACTTTCTTGCCAGTTCTATACTGTATAGCAGCCAACGAAAGATCAGCTCGGAGATTATCCTATACCGGGCTAGATGGCGATCATTGAGCGACTCTTGAGCGACCAAAATAGGATTTTTGTGACCCTCTATTTTGTAAGTGAAATATGCAATAAGTAACATGTAAAAGGTAAAAAAAGAACGTTTCCGCCTCTGTGTAATTCATTGAGCAATCTGAAACATATATTCGCTCAGCGGTCGCTGAATCCAGTTGAAAGCGGGTGCAACTCTCTAAATATGTTGGTGTGTAAACACACACACGTACATTTATTGATTCTATACTACAGCGCGTGTTATTATTAGCCATATGAAAGGCAGCTAGACCGCAGGTAGCGAAAGGTTGACTGGTTACGTCAGCTGGACTGTAGTTGGGCGTGCCGGCAGGACTTTGTATCGGTACATGGGCCGGTAGTCATGGTAGTCAGGGAGGAGACGGGAAACCATGCATGGAAGCAATTACTAGCAGTTACCGAACGTGGCCGTTGTGAGCCTCCTGTGCAGGCCCCGCGGCGGTGGGGAAGAGTTGTTAACGCATTATTTCAATATAGCCTGCCATCCTACATAGCCGCCGAGAGAAGGCTCAATTCCTTCCCCACCGCCGCGGGGCCTGCACAGGAGGCTAGCCGTTGTGAGGTAATCTCCTAGCCTCTACCAGGCTTCGGGATGCGGTTGGAAAAGTAGAAATCGGTCAAATAGAGAGATAACATCCCGAGGGAGTTGGTCCGCTAGAGAGTACAAAACTGTTCTCTCCGGCTGATCAACTCACCTGGCATGCTAAACAAACAAACAGACAAACAAATATAGTATAGGCGACGGGAATTCACGAATGGAAGCAATTTTGCTAATCTCCAAGCAGATGTTTCGGTGACCGTAAAAGACAATATCAAATTGGCCAGGCAGTATTCATTAGCCAGACAGTATGGCAAATAGACCCTCTCTGGCCAATGGATACTGCCTAGCCAATTTGATACTGTCTTTTGTACACTGCCACCGAAACATCTGCTTGGAGATTAGCAATTAGCTACCCAGCCA